CATATGCAATAGTGCGACTCATGAGATCACGTAGGTCGGGCGGGATGGCGACTCTATATGGATAATCCTCAACGAATGGAATCTCCTCAGATATAGAACGCTGTGAGGCTCGAGGAGTGGCATCAACTGCGTTCAAGGACTGTTCAATCTGCGCTTGGACATGGGGAGCAGGTGGGTGAAAAGGACATGAGATAGGTTTACGCCAGGCCTCGATGTCTCCGCAATCGCAACAGCCCCCGGCTTGTTGAGCAACGAAGAAGCTGACGTTATGATCTGAATGATCACTGGAATGAAAACAGCGGCTACAGAGGACGCAACTATCATCGAGGGCGCAGTCTCTGAAGGGGTATTGTGAATGATTGACAGGATAGCAAGCGGGTTACTGACTTGCAACGAAAACAACTCTCTCCCTTGCTGAAGATATGGCCACACGGCCTTCCAGGAACAATCGGATCCTCTGAACCGGCACCAGCAAACCCCAAATCTGCTTGAACGCTACTGAGAGTAGCGTGCATGGGGAGGCTGGAATTGGATAACGGGAGGAAGAGATGTGAATACGGTCCCCAAAATGCATCGTAAAGCTCTGATAGAACCTCTGCACGGGTTGCAGGAGAGAATATATACTTTCGTGAACTTGGCATTGTTTCGAGGGCGTAGCGGAGTTGTGAAAGAGGATCTGATGGTCTGTCGCGAGGATTCATAGTCACTGGATGCCTGGAAGTGTTGAACAACGATATAAAACTCGACATTTCAGTTTAACATGGACTTTCAATTGATCCAAAATCAGACAGACACAGGTAGAAGATTACAGTGATAGAGGGTCTGAGATTCGTGCCAGAGGTTGGCGGCAGTAGCACATTATAGGTTATATTTTAATATTTTAATATTATTAATCGTTATCTACCGTGGAAAGGGGCTCTATACTTTGTAGGCAGTTGTGAATAAAAAAATATTGATCGTAAGCAGATAATTTGTTTGAGCGCAAGGCCCGTACGGTCGACCTCGCCCCGATAGTGACACTAATGACCCCCAACCCGCAAAAATGAGCCAAGGTGTGCTGCCATTCCCACATCATCAGTGAATGCAATGCAGCGAAGTGACCCTTGAAGAGCCGCAAAGCGACGGATAGAGATGAGGCTAGATGAGGATACAGTGAGTAACAGAAATAGTAAGGTATTCGCATGAGCGTAAGTGCGGACATCTCCAGTGTGTCAATACAGACATCCGCGTCAATGCAAGCATCTAGTAATACGTCAGTACAGGCATCCGCATCAACGCAGGCATCCAGGTACGTGAGGGCATCTGCGTTCATGAGGATGTGGGAACCGAGCCCACATGCGCACGGCAGCAGGTGCTGGCAAGGATGGTACTCTTATCCGCCATTGGCAGGCGTCATGGTGACTGGGTGGATGATTCCTCCCCTTATCAGCTTCTCTGGTAAGAAACTTGATGAGTTCACAACGACGAACTTCCTACACGAGTAAGCTTGACAGAGCAGTGCTATAGCTGCACCTTCGGGTGCTCTCTACCTTGGCCAGCCATGTGTTGTACAGCCGCTGCACACCTTGTACTCCCGTTACTAGTACCGCCGACCCTGTCTCACCTGTCAAACGTTCTGCCTTCGAGTTGGAACTTGGCAGTCAAGATACATATAGAAGACCGGCCCCTCAGAAAGAGGTTGACATTCACCTCAGTGGGCTTTATTTATGCACAACGGAAGTTCGAACAGAAGGATAATCCTTTATTCTGGTGGAAGGTTTATTTATTTTAGCCATTAATTCTTCAGCAAGTGGTTGTATTCCACTTACTAGTAACACGAGGTAATGTTTCATCGCCTCGTGATCCTCGTTGTTAGCGTCTGAAGCAAACATACTCTCGGCGATAGCCGCTCGATTAGATTATGTAAGCAGCGCTTCACAAATTCTTGGAACTTATCAACTTGATCATGCCGCCTTTACTACTTGCTACCGCTACTAGTAGATGAGGATCGCCGTGTCGCGATGCTCGTATACTAGTATAGATGTTGAATGCTGATGCCCCGTGCTGTCGGACATGTCAGTGTTCTAAATATTGGTAAGTTGCCAGAATTTTCTGCTTGCTCGAACCATTCGAAAGGTGGTGCTCCCGGAAAACGTTGATACCAGATTTTAGGATTCCTCTTTGCAAGGCTTCATGTAATTGTTTCGGCTAGTATGCAGGCAACCGAAACATTACCATTGACGCCATGAGAACTCTCTTTATGCTGCGATGCTTAATCATGCAAGTTCGGTCTCACAAGTTGGTGACTTACTACCCTTTTCAGCTCCTTCAGGTTGCAAGTAGTACTATACCGTAAGTGCGGTGATTACAATGAACACTGTGGTTGCTATGGTCTTCATGACAAGATTAAAGAGTCTTTGTTCTCATTATTCTGATTCTTAAGGGGTGTGTACTAATGCACCCATCGATCATGCTGACTTGTCCATGTCAGGCGGAAACAATCGACAGTGGTTGTCGCGAAAACTTATTATGAGATGTTAGCTTCAAACAATAAAACGAAGGAGTATCACACGACCTGAAGACTATCTGGGTTCGCCTAGGCCTATCACTCAAAAGGGTTACGAAGAGGTGCGAGAGATTGTGTACTCCTAGTCTCTGTTTCAAATTCAAGATACATGTCCGCCTTTCAGTTGTTTCTTGCATCATTGGAAAATGATGGTGGTCAAAAAGAGGCAAGCATCACTTTAACATCGTCTTAAGGCATTCTAATTAGTGTCAATTTCAGTCCCAACGCTACACCACTAATGTGACGCCATCTTCAGCCTCGCAGGCATCAAAATCCGTTCGACTTTCCAACGCCCCACAAAATCTGAAACACGAAGTAGTAACCCCACCTATTGGTGCAAACATTTCCCGTGAATTTATACTTGCGACGCCTGTGAGTGGCACCAAAGCTTGAACTTTTGTCAGTTTAACAAGCTTCAGAAAAAACCAAAGTCTAGCAATGCAGCAAACAACAAGATTGGTGGTTCCGTTCTGGGCTCATCGTTGGCCCTTTTCAAGCATCAAGCGATGGACCTCGAGTGGCTACTCGCCCGCGAGAAAGCAGGACAAGGAGGCTCAATACTCGCACACGAGATGGGGTGCGTGCAACGCGCATGAATGAGCCTCTAATTACTCATTCAAACTCAGTCTCGGAAAGACCGTAACTTCCATCGCGTTGATAAAGATGACGCTCCAAGAGACGAAAGCAGCAGATCTCAAGAAATCGCATGAGCTTCCTTTTAGGACTAGTGTACCCGTGAAAGTTCCCCCTAAACGACCGAAGACAACACTGTAAACCCGATCTTCTCTTCTTACTGTTGCCTCGTTGACACTGCGATAAAGGGTTGTTGTCCCTAGTGTATCTCTCCGCGAACAGTGGATGCGCGAAATTGGGAAATTTGGTGATGGGCTAAGAGCGAAAGTTCATGATGGGCACATGAGTAGGTAGATTGCCAGACCTGCCCGCGCATTCTAAAATCCACGTCAATATAGGTGTAAACGCTCTCACGGACGCAGATGTAATCGCAAGTACTTTCAAGAAATTACCTGGTGCTACCTAATACCCAGCGTAGATCACCACGTATCAGCGAATAGAACGTCGAATGAGCAAGGATCCTAAGGATCCAGTTTTTCTGGCACGCTGGTCCCGTGTCATTTTAGGTAGCATGTTCACTGAAGTGCCGACCGCCTTAACTGAGTACAAAATGTTGCAGATGAATCGCATAGGATTGTGGGTTTAGGTGCTTGGTACAAGGCATGCATGGCTTTGCAAAAGCTTCAAGGGCTTTGTCTTACTGGCACCCCGTTCGTAGTGAGTTTGTAGCGATTTGCATATGACCATCGAGTAACCAAGTCTCAACAACGGCTTGTATAGAACAAGCTATCCGATATCCAACCCCAGCTCAGATTTCTTGACATCACCAATGAACGGGGTCCGGCTGCCGAAAGCACCGTTTTCGCCGTGCGCGGTAAATGTGGATACTTCTCCAATGTTTCCGCACATGCAGTTGCGGTATGTTCTTATTGTTGTTCCGCTATGCGCAGTTATTGAAATGAACCTCTTATAGGATCTTCTTGCGGATTGTGCGCGATACAGGAGAAAGATGGATGTAATCCAATCCGAATCTAGAAATCAAGACTGTTCATGTGTACCAAACACAGGGGGAGAAAATGATACACGATTGGGCTCGTTCCAGCATCAGAGATTTCGATATCGGGTGGCTGAGAGCCAGGCAAGGTGATAGATCTGTTTACGTATACGGTGTGCAGATTATTCTGATAGTCCTTTCTCCTAGCATGCGATCATCCATTGCTACTCATGGGCGTCTTGGGACAGATAATCGAGGAGCAAGGCCTGGATGCCGATGTAACTTCAAGTGCAGTAGACATGTACGGACGTGGACTCGGTCCAGATCCGGAAGTTCTCCCATTAAACCTTCAACCATTCGCTCGGCTGTTTGGACATGCGTATGTCTCAAGTAAAATCCGCGCGGTGACAGATATCATCACAGGGGTACCAGAAGAACAGAAGGTGTTGGTTTTTGTATGTCGTTCTGCCATTTTCTTAGATTCGCCTCATGTCTGCCTGCCCAGTGCTGCTTTAGGGACACGATGGATCTGCTGGAGGTCCAGATGAAGAAACTAAAGATAGGCGTGGGCCAATGTTCGTATGATATGTCCATTTTATGCGAGTTGGCGTTTGAAAGCTATGACTATTGTTAGTTCACGGCGAACTCTCGACCAAACAACGCATGGAAGTCCTCGACTCTTCCGCGGACAATGCCCACATGAAAGTGCTCCTAATGTCCATTAACGCTGGTGGTGTCGGACTCAACATTACTGTCGCAAATCATGTCATTCTCGTTAACCCGTGGTGGAACAGTTGCAAAGAGGTGAGTGGTTAAAGCGGAATGCATTGCCGTTGATGTAGAAGGCCAGCAACTTAGGTACAGGCCATTTCTCGGTGTCGCCGCTTTGGCCAAGACAAGACAGTTTTTGTGTATAAAGTTATCACACAGGACTCTGTGGAGACTGATGTTATAAAGCGTCAAGAGGAGAAGAAGGATATCATTGAATATGTACTAGACCTGATTGCGCTCCCCCCTATCCTCTGAGCTTGAGAAAATGTTTTATAACCCTACCGCATATATGCAAACTATTGTGCCACCATTTCTCGCAACGCTCGAATACCCACTACACTATCCGTTGCACAGAAAATCCATTACTACATAGACGAAACATATACGATCACAGTTCGAAACCGCACGTATTGTCTACACCCGATGGAAGATCCAAGAAGAGACACAAATATATTCTCTACACAACAGGCCGACGTGAACTTGAAGCAGCTGTCGTTGTAGTGCGTTCAAGGGTAGTCCTTACATTCCGCCCATTGTCACTCGCACTTGCGGCGGTTGAGTCACTCATGGCGCTCTCAGCACTCGTTGAAGAGTGCATTCTCGGGGCGCGCGTCCTCCTCTGGCCCATGGCTGACTGGATGGTCGTGTCCCCTGAGCCACCTTCCCGCCTGAAGTGCCTCATGACAGAAAGCCTCCTGGAAGAGTTGGACCCAGTGCGGGAATGTCTTGAGGATGTGGGGGATGATGGGGTATAAGGGGGTGGGTTCATGCGTGATCTTTGAGATTGCGGTGACATGGCACGCTCTTGTGCAGGTTCACCGTAACTTTCGGCATTCTTTCTGTCTGGGGTGCTTGGTCGTGATGGTTGGGTGGCAAGGAATGGTGTGATTACATCAGCTGCATCGCCAACGGGTGACAACACAGGGGCGATAGGAGGCGCCAAAGGCGAGACAAGCATAGGACGAACAGTGGAGGTGGGTGAAGCGATGTGGAGCGAATGGAGACTTGTTACTGACGGACCGTTGGGAATATTATTGGATTGAATAGCGTAAGAAGAGGTAGACATCGCAGCTGACGTTTGAGGGTATCCTGATGGTGCAAGGGGTGTGTGAATCGTCGAGTCTTTGGTCGCCACAGCGAAGTGCGAACCATTCATTGTGGGCAGTGTCATTTTGTGCGGAAATTGTGCTGCTCTTCTGCGTTTCCGACAAATAACGAAGAAGCAAAAGCCGCATAACAGAAGCAGCAGAACCGTTCCCCCGACAACACCTCCAACAATCGAACCGATAGGAGTTGCTGAAGACGAAGAACTGGACGGTGAGCTCGAAGAAGAAGGATCGCTAATGGGTGATCCATTCACGTTGCCTCTTCCTAATGAAAGTTAGTGCGCATGTGACTGACATGGTCGATTGGGCTTACCCGTAGCACTATTATCCGAGGCAGTGGACTGGACAAATGTCCCGTTGGAGTAGTAACTAGCTGTAAGATCGTTCGTGATAAAGGAGCTAGCGGTCCTGCTATCAGAACTTACGATTGTAGCTCGCATAATAAGGTATTATTGACGCGTTGGAAGGGAGTCTTATTCCCTCATCCCAAGGAAAGTATCTTTGAGAGACATGAAAAAACTAGACCAGTAAAGACCAAACGTATATAAACTCACGTTGTTGTTGACGTGCTTCCATTACAATTCGTTATCCATGTGTCCCAGCTACGCCAAGTTTGCTAAAGCGAACAGCGAGTGGATTTAAGAAACTTACCTCACTAAGGAGGGCGATCCCGTGGCACAAAACGTACAGGCACTTATCAAGTTGTAGCTTGCCCAGGAACTGTTTCCAGTGGCCATTCTCGTTTTAAAAAGCCACACTGGATTCACACGAATGTGACTCACCAAGTGCACCAAGTCGCATTTGAGCTATCAGGAACGAAGGAACCCTCGGAAGAGGAAGGAGAAATGGTATTATCTGAAGCGACTCAGGCATATCACAAAGAGTACTGGGAGGAGGGGCTTACTCATCGTATTCGGACACGAACTGTACACCACTCCCACTATTTCACATGGCGTTTGCTGCTGGGTGTTCGTGGACCAAGTTGGACATGATGACATTTTGGCTCGATTTGCTATTGACAAGGTTGAGAGAGCTTCAAGTGATGAAGAAGCTGTGTGAAGGATGTTACAGGACTAGAAACGCAATTGAGATAGCAATGAAGTAATGACCTGCAAGTCGACCGCTGACGGCAGTGAATGTAACCAAGAGAGAAAGCAGTGACAACGGACGGTGGGTGACAACTTGGCTGCGAGGTGACAGGTGAAGCGGCTGGGAGATGTTGCACGGCTAAACGCGGGCCATAGGTCTCGAATAGCAGGTGCGCCCACTATCACTTCTCGGCATGAAGCTCCGTGCGGCGTGGATCAAGTTGGTAATAATGCGAATGACCATGATAGGAATGGGTAAACCAGGAATATCTCCGTTTTTACGAACTGGGGAAGTTTGAAGACTGCTACCGAACTTCGAAGATGGACCTGACTCCTTGGCGTCAAAAGGTCAGGTAAGTTGACAGATGGAGGGTGGTCGGTTAGTAATGACATAGCCGCATGTACATTACAGTACTAGCAACTGAGGGCTGTGACACACAGCCTGAAACGGATTCGGATGAGGCTTCCAGATGCCCATCTCCGAAGTCATTTCCCGTAATTAGAGGGTATTAAACACTTCGTTGTCGAGTTGCTGGCCGGTGTGGGCTTGAAGCTTGAATACAGCGAGTCAACCGTTAGTTGTTTCAAAATTCCCACGTGTAGTACACTGAAAAGATCGAGGAACAAGTTGGTCAACCAGTTCAGGAACTTCAGCGCTCATTTGATTCACACATCATGTCCGGTCCGCGCTCAGACATTTCTGTTCTCAGCTCAGGTCACCAGACGAGATCCCTGATAAGTAACTTTACGATAAGCCTGACATTCTTGTTCCTCGCTCCGTATGATTGGTATTGGTTGCCTACATCCCCCTAGTGCATCCCAGCGTGTGGCTCCTCCAACATGATGTCCTTGTGTTTCTATCGTTTTCTGCCCATAATTCCATATATTTCGACCATCCTTGCCGCACAAGTGCAACCAGCCAGGCGCAACATCGTCTCACCTGCCGCCTGCGTTGACGGATACTCATGGATGGACGACAGTCAGGGCGACTCACCTTGTCTTACGGCCGCTTATGTAGAGGGTGCGTGCACTGAGAACAGTATGTGGATTTCCCTTGTTTCTCGGGTGTGAACTCACGTGCACGCTCAAGACTACAACCAGCCAGTCCTGCAAAGCGGCTACTCGTACTCGTTACCAAATTCTTCGACTGCGAATCCTTGCTATTGGTAAGTGGGAGTGACGACTGCATTTTCGATTGTTCTGATATTAGAGCAGTTCTTGGTCGTCCTATAATCTTATGATGGCCTGCACTTTATGTCAAGGAGTTAGTAATTCTTCTGTCTCGGAGCAAGTCATCTGTCTTGTATTTTTCGGGGAAATATTAACGATTATATAGATGGCCTGCATGGGCATCCGGATGCACCACGAACCAATCATGGACACAGGAGTCTGTTCAAGATTCATAGTTGTTGAGCTGCGCTCACAATCTCTTATAGATATTTCCCTCCTGGATATATGCTTACTGGAGGTGCGTCCATACCTTATTGGGCTACTACTGATCGTGAGTTTGTTCTGTCTTCCGAACGCATGGTATCAATTGATGAGTTTTTTTTAGCGTCAACATGGACATACGCGACGTTCAATATCCCAGATGCGAACGCTACCTATCAAAAGAGTATGCTAAGTTCATTCTATCTCTTCATCACTGTTGTTGATCCGGTCCAGATTCTTCTAGTGTCACCCCAGGCGCCTCATCGTCATCTAGCGGTTCAGGTTCAAGCTCATCTTCCAGCAGTTCAAGTTCAAGCTCGAAGTCAACTGACGTGGGTGCAATAGTCGGTGGCACCGTCGGAGGCGCAGCCGCACTCCTTTTTCTCGTCATTGCCGCCTATGTACTGTACAGACGCCGCGTATACAGGAATGCCTCTGTTATCAACCAACAAAGGACGACCTTTATACCACAGTCAGACACACACAACCGTATCCCTTCCGATACATCCAACTTTTCTGCATCAATGTCAGGTTCTCTTGCGCTATATGGGCAGCCCGCCGTATCTTCCTCGCAGCAGTATGAGACTTCATATTCTCCACAACCTCAGACAGCATACCCATCTCTACAAGGTTCATATTCGCCTATTCCACGGACAGATATGACCGTCTACACTACACATTCTAGCAACGGCCGACCTGGTGATGCCATACCAATGGTTTAACATTAAGGTGCATCTTACAAGTTTTTATACTTGACGCGCCCGCATTCGGTACCTCATACCTATTATCTCCTGACCAATCTCCTTCGAAAATTTACTATGACAAGCCACCGACGGGGATCAGAGAATTTCTTACTCTGCATTCTATGCCGTCGTTCCCGCCGTCTTATGATGTCATGATAATAATGCCGTTGTTACATGAAACAACAATGTTCTTATTGAAATTACTTAGCATGCTTCTGTTGCTCCTTCGTTCTTTTCCAGAGCCCAGTTGGCGACTCGCACGATCTTCATGGAAAGCGACATAAGCACCCTTCCGAGCTTTACAGGACGAAGGCTACTACTACTTCAAGTGGAGATCTTCAAAAATCCGAGTGAGTTGGTGGATGGCGGCGATGGGACACCCACCCGCATTGTAGCCGCACAGGGTTGAATTAATATCCGCAATCTGAAACGGTTTGGATCGAGAGAAGACAAGTCGAAGCAACACCAGTCATAAGACCTAATTATATAAGGGATTCGTCGTACGATTACTCGTTATCTTGTCGACGACGTCACGCGTAGTGGTGGCGTTGTACAAATTTGAACTTGTTTGAACACCACACATGACACAGACAGCTAGCGTCTAGCAAGAACTTTATAGCCCTATTGGATCTTATACGGTGTATGCCATGATTCTATCAAGATCATCATCAGAAGATATGCCTCTTCCGAGCGCTGGAACCTGGAGATAAGAGCATGCTTGCACTCATTAGGATAGCCCGTATGACACTTGTCCACATCTCTGGCCCTCTTCCAGTCCATCTGAGCCCACACCATGGTCGCGTCCTCAGGTGTCTATCTTGTTATGTCTGTGATTTCAAGTGGCTCGATTGTCCTGGCCGTACAAGTTCATCCAGTGAAGCGCAACATTAGCTCATCTGCCACCTGCATGAGTGAATACTCGTGGATGGACGACGGTCAGGGCAACTCACCTTGTACTACTGTCGCTTATGTAGAAGCTCCATGTAATGAGAACAGTATGTGAATTTTCCTTCCTTCTTGGCCGTAAACTCATGCGCGCTCTCCGAGGCTATGACCAGCCAATTCTGCTCAACGGCACCACGTACATCTTGCCAAATTCTTCGAACGCGAATGCATGCTACTGGTAAGTGGGAGTGACAACTGCGTCTTCGATCGTTCTGATATTAGAGCAGTTCTTGGTCGTCCTATAATCTTATGATGGCCTGCACTTTATGTCAAGGAGTTAGTAATTCTTCTGTCCCGGAGCAAGTCATCTGTCTTGTATTTTTCGGGGAAATATTAACGATTATATAGATGGCCTCAGTGGGCATCCGGATGCACCACGAACCAATCATGGACACAGGAGTTTGTTCAAGATTTCATAATTGTTGAGCTGCACTCACAACATCTTATAATTATAGATATTTCCCTTCTGTATATGTGCTTGCTGGAGCGTCCATACCTTATTGGGCTACTACTAATCGTGAGTTAATTCTGTCTCTGCGAACGCATGGTACCAACTGATGAGTTTTTTTAGCGTCAACATGGACATACGAGACGTTCAATATCCTAGATGCGAATGCTATCTATCAAAAGAGTATGTTAGGTTGATTATACCATTTATCTACCACTGTTGTTGATCTGGTTTAGATTCTTCTAGCATCACCCCGGGCGCCTCATTAGAACCGTTATCTAGCGGTTCAGGTTCAAGCCCATCATCTAGCAGTTCAAGCTCAAGCTCAAAATCAACTGACGTGGGTGCGATAGTTGGCGGTACCATTGGAGGCGCAGCCGCACTCTCTTTTCTTTCTTTTGCCGCCTATCTATTGTACAGACGCCACGCATATAGGAAAGGAGGTTATGCTTTGGCTATCAACCAACAAGGGATGACCTTTATACCACCGTCACATAACCGTATTCCCTCCGATATATCTGATCTTGTTCCATCGATGTCGGGCCCTCTTGCCATGTATGGGCAGTCCGTATATCCGTCCCAGCGGTATCAGACTGCATACCCACCTCCACATCGTTCATCCTCACCTCTTCCACGGATGGATGTGTCCGTCTACGCCACACATACTGGTAACGGCCGACGTTCTGATGCCATACCAATGGTCTAACACTAAGGTGTATCTTTGAAGTTTCTTATACTTGAAATACCAGAGGCGCCCGCATTCGGTACCTCAAGGCCTCATGTTGAACGTTCAACGTAACATCGACAGTATTCCTTTTTTTCGTTTGTCATCACGGACTCTTCAGCATAGCTTATAATCTTGTATTGATCAGCGGTTCCGTCAATAACGCTGAGTTATAGTTTACGTCTCCTTGCACGCTGTCTCTTACTCACACTACTTTATTTTTAGCTTTGTCTTTTAGGTACTGAAATGTCATAGCGGTTCTCTCAATAATGCTGAGCTTTGTTTCTTGATCCCGATTTCATCAGGTTATGAGTTCCGACTCTTACTGAACTACAAGGACGAACTTTACTCACGTTAGCTCGCCGGCGGCCGCTCGCATAGTATCTTACTCTATTTCGTTCTTCTCTTACAGCGGTATCGCTATGGGTAAATAAGAAAGCTACTTACAGCCGCATTGTAGCCGCACAAGCGCTCGGCGACCACGCAATCTGAAACGGTTCTGATTCAGATGCCATTTCTGAAGACAAGGCGAATATGGTTGATGACATGGGCCTACTTAGTCATAGACTTGTTTAAAAGTTGACATTAACAAATTTGAACTTGTTTACATTATTCTGTATTAGTGTTACTTTTTGACTAAATTTCATACCCCAGACTCAACTCAGCGCTTGCCAATCGGTGATTCAAATATTCATCAGGCTTTGCAACATATATTGGACCTAGTCAGATCTTACGGTGTAAGTATGCCATGATTCCATCAAGGTCATCAGATATGCCGCGTCGGAACGTGGTGATAAGAACATGCTTGCACTCATTAGGACAACCCACATGCTTGCCCACATCCCTGACCCTTTGGCAGTGCATCTGAGCCCACACTACGGTCACATCCTTAAATTTCTATCTTTCTGTGTCTGTGATTTCAAGTGTTTCGACTACTATGGCTGTACAAGTGCAACCAGCCAGGCGCAACATCGTCTCACCTGCCGCCTGCATTGATGGATACTCATGGATGGACGACAGTCAGGGCGACTCACCTTGTCTTACGGCCGCTTATGTAGAGGGTGCGTGCACTGAGAACAGTATGTGGATTTCCCTTGTTTCTCGGGTGTAAACTCATGTGCACGCTCAAGACTACAACCAGCCAGTCTTGAACAGCGGCTATTCGTACTCGTTACCAAATTCTTCGACCGCGAATGCATGCTACTGGTAAGTGGGAGTGACAACTGCGTTTTCGATTGTTCTGATATCAGAGCAGTTCTTGGTCGTCCTATAATCTTATGATGGCCTGCACTTTATGTCAAGGAGCTAATGATTCTTCTGTCTGGGAGCAAGTCATCCCTCTTGTATTCCTCGGAAAACATTAACGATCAAATAGATGGCCTGCATGGGCAGATGGATGCACCGTAAACCAATCGTGGACACAAGAGTTTGTTCGCGTTTCGTGTTTGTTGAGCTGCGCTCATAAATATCTTACAGATATTTCCCTTCTGGATATGTACTTGCTGGAGATGCGTCCATACCTTATTGGGCTACTACTGATCGTGAGTTTGTTCTGTCTTCCGAACGCATGGTATCAATTGATGAGTTTTTTTTAGCGTCAACATGGACATACGCGACGTTCAATATCCCAGATGCGAACGCCACCTATCAAAAGAGTATGTCAGGTTGATTCGATGGCTGCATCTCTTCATCACTGCTGTTTATTTGGTCCAGACTCTTCTAGCATCACCCCAGGCAATTCAAGCTCAAGCTCGTCGTCTAGTAGTTCAAGTTCAAGCTCGAAATCAACAGACGTGGGTGCGATAGTTGGCGGCACCGTCGGAACCTTGGCTGCTCTCTCGCTTTTTGCCGTCGGCGCCTATCTACTGTACAGACGCCACGTGTACAAGAAAGGAGTTTACGGCTCTGTCATCAACCAGCAGCCATTCATAAACAGAGGCGATGGTGCGGCAACTCGCATGACACCCAATCGTTTTCTGCCCGATCCATCCAACTTTTCTCAGTCGTCGTTCGGCTCTCCTGTGTTGTATGGGCAGTCCACGTCTTCGTTGCAATATGGGACTGTGTACTCTCCACAGCCCCAGACGGCTTACCCTTCTCTGCGAGGTTCATTCACACCTCCGCCGCGGACGGTTACTACGTCTCTCCACACTACACACAGCAGGCAACACTCCAATACCATGCCAATGGTCTAAGTAAGATATTTCTGGCCTTGTACTGTCGGACGCACTGACGTGGACTTTTTATGGGCTAGTGCCGTCTTTCGCAATCTTGCACATCTTGGTATGACGCACAAAATATAGGCAAAGCGGGCTCGCGGAGTTTCTCTGTATCTCAGCTTCGTACACCCCGTCGTTCCCATCATATTGCGAGATATAAACTTCCGTCGTTATTTAAATAAAATATTTTGATTGATCATGAGATGTAGACATGCTTCTGGCATTCTTTCTTCTAGACCTACAATTCAAATTTCATACTCCACTCTACTCCACTATTTCCAGTCTTTAATTCCCCGGATGTGAAGTTGTCAGCTTGAAGATCAGAAGTATATGAGCCAGTGCACCCTTGCAAACGTTTACAGGATGAATCGACCGAAGGCGATGATGCTCTTTCGGTGGGTTTGTCATATCTCAAGATCTCAAGCTTGGGCACGAGGTCTTGATCAGCGAGCCCCCATATTAGGATCATGTCTTGTAAAGATTGTCACACCGATTGATATTTATACCTGGTTAGCTAGCGGTAAAAAAAACAGGGATTCTCTTCGAGAAATAGAAAAGCCGCAAAGTTCTAGAGCCCGCATAATAATGAACAGTAGAATTAGTCCGCTAGCTTCTCCTGCAAGTTTCGAATATTCACATACAAGGAGCCACGCCTCCGTAATGAGCTTAGACCTGGGTCTCGGGCATGCCGCAGGAGAAGCCGCGATCAGGAAATTACCTCTAGATTCAGATACCAATTACAAGAGGAAACGAGTTCTTCTCGAGTACTCGAGTGCGCAATTGGACGTACCACTCGTAATAATGTATTCCATAGGAAATTTAACAATCAAAAACAGCGCATATATGCACGGCACGAGGCCTGGCCAGTCGCTGAGAATTATTCCCATAATAAAGAAGAAATAAATGACTGCCGTTTTCTTCTATTTGGTCTAGGGGGGGAACACTAGATCCATTACATACTACGTACATATTGTCCAAAAGTCCGTCGAGCGAGTTCTTAATACATATGTACACGTAACGGTACGACCGGGCAGTATGGCGACAAAGAAAACTTCGCGGTGGGAAGAACTTCGTCTTGTTGTAGACTGGGGAGACCGCCGTTATATCGTAGTTTGCGGAGGGGAATCTTTTGACTTGCCTTCCAGCCTCGAAGCTACAGAAAGGAAGATGGAAAGGGATTGGGAGGGAGGTCGAAGGCAAAAATGATCGCTCTGAAGATCCAAGTGCTGGAGGTCCCCCAAGGTTGAACGGGGAGTACGATCCCTGGGAAATATACCGTAGGATCACAATTTGGGACGCACCGTAAATAAAATTTTGATCTGTGGCCGATTCCGCCCCCAGATCGGTCTTGCTGCTTCGTCGTCGTCTAAAACGTCGTCATGCTGAACGTAATGGCTGGAACCTATCTTCGATGAACGTGTCTGGAACCAAAGAATAATATCAAGCTGCTGCCAGATCACTGTTTGTCGAGCACCGTCTCCTTGATTTCTGCTCGCGAAGCACACTCGATTACTTAGCCTAGGAGTTGTTCTGGGTCACTTGTCGACGCTGACAATATCACGCTCTCCGCGGATTTGAACGGCACGAGGATGTACTTATTCAAGACTGCATTAATGACCTATCGCGATGTAGTCGTAAAGGTAGTGGTAGAATCGGGTAACCTATCAGTATCAACGTCTCACACTAAGGACATCTAGTAACAATCAAGATATTTCGGTGCGTGGATATATGACTTACGTCCAACTTGACTTCACCTGACCCCAGTATAAGTTGCAGTATATTTCACCTAGACATTACACAGATGGCTTGAGTTCTTCCCGACTCAAGTTTGTGCTTAAATAGTGCGGAATAAATGCAGAATAAATTAGACGAATAAATTGGACAATGTTGGAAAATAGCATTGGAAGAGCTATCAAAAGGATGAAATCCTTCTGGGTAGTAATTAAGTCTACATAACAACCGATGAGCACGAGGCAGGCAGACCAAAAAAAACTCAACTTGGGTTATCATACCGATGGGAACAGATGAATTGTCTAAAGGTACTCGGTTGATGCTGAATTTATGGCTGCGTGCAGAAATTCGGTAACCGTTGGAGGCGCAACTGTGTGCTGTCGGTTTGAAAAACCTGTTGCAGCTTCACTGTCGACATCCATGACGTCCGAGTCCGCGCCGAGTTCTTTCTTGCGTTTCGTCGCCAAGAAATGCAAGTACGTCAGACTATGCTGTGGGGCTGGTGTTCGCGCGGTATTCATTGGAGGAGCGGAAAACCAGAACAGCTCGTTTGTGTCTGGAGAGCGATCGAAATGTTTTGCTAACACAACGTGTAAGCGGGTTTGAAGAAAAATAACAAAAAACCTACTCGTTTCGGGGGGAAGCTTGTCGACAATTGGGGGAACAGTCAAATTCCCTGCCGCGGTCAGCATGGTCCGGTCACGATTGTCCTCGTGCGTGTGAGTCTTAGGAGGACTGTGCACAATTTCGACCAGTCGGTCCTGTGGCACAGCGAGTATGTAAGTATAAAAGCGGGGATTAAACATCACCACGGTTGAGCAGTCTATTCATGAATACTCGCCTTGCTGACCTCGGACATCCCTAGTTCACCAACGCCTTGCCATCTTGGGAGAGTTTTCTCAAGCTGACGGCCGATCGCCTCACTATCCCCAACCCTTTCTTCTGCAGTCACTGGTCCCTTTAGAGGAGTGGATTTGGCGGTCTGTGATTCGGAAGCTGGAGGTACAGCGGATGTTGGGGCTGTTGTCCTTAGTTTGGTTGTTGTAGAAGTAGAAGGCTGCATAACAAAGGGCTGCGGCGGTGCAGCGGGACCCGTTCCGTGGACCTTTTGAGCAGATGAGGGAGGTGGCGAGTGTCGGGGCACGGGAAGAATGCTTCTCTTCTGCCATTCAGTTTCGAGTACGGTCTGAACGCGAATAGATAAGGTCGGAACGCCCAATTGGTGTTGAGGGTAATTACGCCGCGGACAAGAAGTGGAAAACGTACTTTGAGAGTCTGCGCATCAGTAGCAATTTGACTATCTGGTTCGTTGTAGAACAACGCGTTCCAAAAGACGAGCGACAGATCGGTATAAGCGTTGAGCGCGTCCTTGTATCTGTTCCGTTCAACGCTTGACTTGATGGCGTTGATACATCGGGGTTCGGGTATGACCTATGTGATTCGGATATATATGTGCAGGGTTTGGTTTCCTCGGAATATTAGAAATACCTCATAATATTCAGGCCATTCTGATCTATCGACCAGATCCATAAACAATTCAGATAATTGACGTTTTCCTCGAGCTGGAGTTGTTGCAACTATAATTTCAATGACTTCATCTATAGCTGTCTTTTGTGCAGCTGTTATTGTCATGGTCAGAAAAGAAGCGTTGTTTGTAATTGTTTATCAAAAGCCTTGAAAATTAACAAGTCTCTACAAACGTAATTTATTTCGCCTAAGCCTCGGGCCCTGAAGAAGTTCAACTATGAAGGAACTTGATCTTGTTGCTATCTGCAATCAGAAATGAATTTCCTGTGCCCCCGCCTCCTACCGGCGGCTGCGTCATTTTTACTGACTAATAATTATTAAACTAAGTATAGGAGAATAAAGACTCAAGCATGCATATCCAGCGAGCTCTTCTTCTATTTCCATCATACACGAGGAGAATGCTTCATTTCCTCAATTGCATCTCAATCCACCGGGATCGTCGTTCCTCATATCTCCCACCTGCGTGCCCAGCTTCGAAGTGACACCGAAAAGGAAGCATGTGCGACATCATTGTACTACTCAGACAACGAGGCCACACCGAGCGTGGTATTTCCGCTCCGCCGAGAATCATGTCGAAGTTCAGATGTTGTTGCTCCAGTCAACGCGTGCAAGTGGGGGAAGTAGTCCTTTGTTATCACGGACCGACAACCCATTAGAGTATGATATTGATCCAACAATTTCCTTCCCGCAGCGCTTGCCTGTCGTCTTCCTCAACAACACGCGGGCATCCGAGGCTTCCTGCGAAAACGGTGAGTTCAAGATGAGCTATCGGAGTTCTCAGATGAGCTACGCCAGCCAGCTGCTTGGTCCACGCCTAATTACGATTGTAGAAAACGGTGTGAGCCGCTGGGGTTGAATGCTAAATTCTGCCGTAAAACAGCTGCTTGTTGCCTGGGCCTTCATAGATTTGGACCTCGTTTTCTTTATGTCTTCGCACCTTTAGGGTTGCAACGGATGTACCCAACAAATTATATATATAAGCTTTCCTGCTCACAGAATTGGCGTGAACTTCATCAGACTTCGTCCTCCTCGTCCATACCCAGCCGCCCCCTGACCTCTACGCCATGTTACACTCTCCAAGCCCTCTACTCCGGCAGCCAAATTTTCGGCAGCACCATATACAGAGCGCTCAACTCGGTCCATCTCTTTCCCAGTCAAACACGTCGGATTGGGTCTCAGGCTTCTTAGAAAGATCATCCATCTACGACGCATACGATATACAGAGCGGTAGATGTTCTCTCCAAGATAGCGGCCCATCGACAACGTCGGCCCTACGTGCCATGGTCACCGGACCACCTATATCTTTAGATATACCCCCATCTTTAGCTAACTTTCGTACCATCGCCGGCGGCCATACCTCATGTGAGTGGTCCGACGCACTGCCTTTATTCTACCAGCAACAACTACACTACCCATACCCTGCATGCGATAAAAGCCCGTCGTCATCACATTTTTCTTCCTCATCGCACTCTTACTGTATTGACCTTCCAACTTCGTCCAACATGGTTCTTCCGTCTCATTCAACATCGCCGCCGCTCCCACCTGCCCTGGCATTACCGGGGCCTTCCACCACCCCTGCAGAGATAACACAATCCATTCGCACTGCATGTGCAAGCTCTTCCAGGTCAGCGTCATCACGCAACACAAAGAGTGAAGGCTCAGGCCCAAGACCACGGGAGAAGAAGCATGCCTGCTGGATGTGCGAGAAGTCCTTTGATAGGCCCTCCACGTTGAGAAAGGTCAATATTACTTTGCCGCTATAAATAGCTAGCTCATGTTAAAGGTCTCTACCTTGCAGCATTTGCTCGTGCACACAGGAGAAAAAGGCATGTAACAAAATTGCTGCGGTTGTGCGATGCTAAAACTTAAAATTATAATTGTAGCATTCGTGTGTGACACCTGTGGCCGTCGTTTTGGCGTTGCGTCTAATCTTAACCGTCACGTTAAGCGGTGCATTCTTAAGCCCGTAAACACTGCGAATCGCACGAGCCAGATGACATCTAGTGACTCCGCTGGGACGTCACAGGAAGTCGCATCCGTCCTGCCGCCGTCCGCTGCCGCCTCGAGTGCTGCCGCATCATCAGATTCTGATCCACGACCAAACAAGCGTACTCGTGATGAACCGGCTACGTCACCATCAGAACAGCCCAAGGCGTCCGCGAAGAGGCGACGTCGTGCTCCGTCCCCGTCGCAATGGATACCGACTTCCCTTCTTCCATTCAATCTCTTCCCCGTAGAGTCTACAAAGGCGACTACCGTCCCACTCCCACCTGTTACGGCAGTCAAAGATGAGGTATCCAACGAGTGGGTCGAGGAGCGCAACTCATGGGATGAGACTGTTGGCCTCACACCATACCACCCATGTGGGTGGAAAGGTACCCTCCCGGGCCCAGCCGTAGGGTTCGGCGGCAAAGATGTAGGGAACGTCGGCCTCGTGAATGGAGGAACGTACGTTATGGGAAGACTCGTCATGGTCTAATCATGTTGCCATCTGCCGTGTTCTTCCCTGGATTCTTGACTTTCTCGCTCACGCTGAGAGGTTTCTTGACATTCTTGCAGGCTTATTTGGACTTCCTTGGTTTTGGTTCCGCCCCAGCATTTATTCCTGATACATCACCTAGTACCCGCCAGCTTTACATCTGGCCTCATCACTATTTGCTTGTTTTTTTTGGCCCGTTAGGGGTTTTTGAAATGCTGGTCATCTGCATCTAAATTACGACTGTTCCGAGTACGTACTGTAACGTTAGCTTGTTATGAGATTTGTGCCTGTATCAAGTATTATCCTGACGATAATCTATCCTGCTGTTGTTATTCGCCAGTCGAGCTCCAGCGGTCACCATGAATATTTACATATGTGCATTGGGCAGCCTACCGGTGCTCGGAGTTTTTAGTGCCGGTTTCACAGTAGGAGGCATTCAATATGTTCATCATGAGGCAGGATGCCGCCCAGATGGGCCTATAATATTTACTGGTCATGAATTCAACTTGAATTATTTTTTTAGTTATCCTCAGAGGAAATAATGAAACCAGTGAGTGTGGCGTCTGTGTTTCCTCCAATCATAAGGTACATCTTGGAACATGCCAACTGGCTGGCCGCGTGATGTTTTCGTGTGATTTACAGGAATACCGATTTACGGTTTGCGGCATTATCGCTACCAAAGCAGACAACCCAATATTGCTATCGCGGTTCGCTCTTTTCCAGAAGCTCCCGATCATGATGCATGATGTGGTGGGTTGGTGGCAGACCTATCAAGTACAGCAAGCACATAGCTGTATGCACATATGCCAAATGGTAGATTATTGGTACGCATCGTCAAACCCAAAACTATCAGGTGATAGATTTACCTGGAAGATGTTCGCCTCGTCCCATCTTCCCAAGCCCCCTTTCAAGGTTCCTCGGGTACGCTTTGTGGCGACTGCGCTGGTGATTAGGCAAAGCGAAAAGAAATTTCTGCTCAAGGAGAGGAGAACAATTAGACATTTTCAGTCATGACCCACGCTATAATCAAAATTCTCGGATTGCAACCCGCGCCAAATCGGGGTCGTACGCTCCAGCTCCAGCGCTTCGTAGAAGCCTACTGCAGGGTCATCTGCACATCGCAGCATCCCTTCCCCTATGGCTCCCACACATCCACCTCTGCGCCCACTTGGTGTCGATGAAAGGTCATAGGGCATCTTCGTCGAGTTCTTGCTTCCTCGCAATGTATGCATGATTTACAGGAGACGTGACGTTATCAGCAAATCGTTCGTCTTAGGTTATCCTCATTTTTTTCATATAACTGAAGACATTGTGTAGCACGCCGTAAGACTTTGTTCATAATATTAAGACTGTCGAGCTGCTCACCTCTACGGTAATATTGGAGCATCGCGTGGGCGATGCTGTCGTCTATTGTAGTCTAGCAGGCGCATGTTTGTAAAGATGTTCCCTGGCGCGATCAATGTTTTTCGTGCGACAAGTCAGAGATGCAGTTGTCGCGGTGCTGAAAGGTCTCAAATGGCGACTGGCGTGTCATAATTCTTCCTCGCTCTGTATATCGCAGATATAGGCCATATAAGTGAAGCTCACTGTCACCTGAATAACAATTTGACCAAGACCCTGATCAGCGGTATTAGCATGGTCTCCTACACTCACTCTGATCGAGCCGGTCGACTCGTAGTTGCTGATCTGAGACTTCCCTACGTGGACGATCATTTTATATGACGTTGGAGACGGACTGGTGGGGCTGGCAACGTGCCTGCCTCTGGCAGACAGAAGCAAGTGTGACCTAGTATTTGAGCGCTACTTACGACAACGTGCGAAGGCAGAGTCTACCCGTACTGACTAAGCTATGTAAATGGTGGCAAACACCCGCACGCCATAAATGTGATTTGTATTTTCATTGCATATCGTTCCAATCGTCAGTATATCCGTGATCAAAGATAACGAAAATAACCATTTTGAAGCTCATTGATAAGTCCTGCGATATATTACTATCAGTCTTATTTGCCGTAAGAGGCATTTACGTCGCGCGAAACAATTAGCGCTCACTGCATCGTGCTCGAAGTTCTACCCACTGTGAGCAACGGTACGTAACCCGCACATGTCTTGCAAACATGAGCACCTATCTAACTCCGCTACTGAGTTCGAGCTCATTATGGTGTGGATCAGCTTGGGTATAGCAGGTTCCCTGCAACTCAGGAACGGAAAAAACGATTTCAAACCACCAAAACTCTATGAATGTTATTCTTTCGCAGCCCCTGAATATGGCCATCGTCATGGATGCTTACAGCCACGGAGACACGGGATTCAGGCAGGGATGTCGGCGTTCCTCGTAGTAGACCGATCGACCGTGGAGATTCAGAAATACTGTAATTAGAGTGAAAGGGAGCTATGCATCGGTAGACGTTCTGCAAAATCACTGTGATGCACAGTCCACAACTCGATTGTGATTTATCTGTCCTTATTCGGGGGCTTATCGGCGAGTGAACCAAGTCCTAGTAGAAGCCTAGAATTTTATTGCATTCGGAGAAGTGAGATTTAATTTTTTGCAGTAGGTCAAAGGGTATATTTGGGGTCGTCCAAGCTCTTGATGATCCTTGTAGGTTCATATAGGTTTTCCGCAATAAACTTCCCATCTAGGAGACGAAAGCTTTAGCATCCCTCATATCATTTTATGAAGATAATGGCGTTTACTTGGCTCATCATTCTGTTCAGCTCTCCATATTGCCTCTTCCATGTCTTTAGCCACGCCCGTGAGGATGTGCCTCTTGACCAACCGTCGCTTCGCTTCCTCCAGATCCACCTGTATCCACCACCGTTCGTCCATTAGCTGTGCGCCTTTCTCCCATATTTCGTGCTTTAACATGGAGTATAAACCCTCGATCACAACCAGGCGGTGGGAAGGGTATATCGACACAGTGTGAGGGGTAGGATCTTTCAGGGCATGATCAAAAGAAGGGGCAGTTATCACAGTAGTTTCCGGTTGACGCAAAAGCTTGGTAAACTCGACGTAAGATGGTCCGTCGAAAGTCCAGTGTGCACCGCGACGATCATGCGCAAGTTTAGGATCCAACATGGCATCTAGTTGTGCGCGTGTCAGATGCCACCCATCCAAGGCAACCAAAATGGCAGAAGTGTGATGCGTGACGTTATCAGCAGCCAAAAGCGCGTTGACTTTGGCGACCACTAGTTCAGCCAGGGTTGATTTGCCTGACGCAGGGACGCCTGCGATAGCAACTAAGAGCCGCTCTCCAGCTACTTTACTGGCTTGCCAGTGACCATCAAATCAAGTGGCATTAGTCTAGAAAATAAACGTACACTTTGAGTTGCTGTACGAGATAGCTAGCGAGGTCTTCTGCAGTGCTATCCATGGTGTTTGGCACTGGTAAAGTCATCCATCGATTTGATGACAATATAACAGGACAACATTAGCTGGGTATTATGTCATGAGTCTCATGACTCGAAATAATAATAGCTTGTACCCTCTGACTACTCACAGTATATCAAGGCAGCGTTGCGTGCTCCGGGACTGCAGCTGAAAGCTTAAAAAAGCACTGATAGAAGTTGGTGCACAGCAACAAACGTGAGATTTCAATAATTATTTTACGGAATGATTATGTCACAAACTTAAAATACTTACAGGAACGATATTTATGTCTGTTTCTGATGGCCCTGGGCCTGAGGCCTGAGGCTTAGGAGCTGCGTAACACTTCACCTTACTTTATTTCACACCATGTCGGGGAAAGTGTTGGAAGGACGAGTTCTTCAAAGGTATGCTCACCTTTACCCTCACTACTAACTAACGTGCAATGACATTGTCATGTCACGGTTACTCATCACCTTGTTGAACCTTACCGCAGAGCAAACCCAAAGACAATACAGGATAAATTTCTAGTTGGATATCAAGGATGGTGCGTTCGAGTATCTCTTTGATGCAAGCTCGTGGACCGTCCAGGTCTCATAATCACCTTTGAGCGTCTCTCGAGTGGTCCAAAGTCGCAGATGGATGATGGGACCCATTATGATATAGTGAGCCTCGTGTTCAACATTCCTTTTACAGGTTCACCTGTCCTGGAGATGGCGAACCCTTGGATCCTAACCACCATGGGTGGCTACACTGGTTTGATAAGCCGCTCCCAGACGGTGGACGCCCCAATACAGATATATGGCCAGATATATCTGATTACTCCCCATCCGAACTGTACCCTGCCACAGGTCTCAAAAACGCAGACGGAGAACAAATGTTTCTATTTTCCTCGCGCCACTCGAAGACGGTGAGGCGCCATTTCCACTGGATGGCGTTGCACGGTGTCGACGGCGCGTTCTTGCAACGATTTGCAGGCCAATGCGACATAGAGGCGGGCACAGCAATGAGGGAAATCAGAGATGAAGTGGGTGATCGTGTTCGAGAGGCTGCTGAAGCAGAGGGAAGGGTATTTGCCATCATGTGCGCATATTTGTCAACTCAGTTTGATCGATATTCATTACGTATCTAGGTATGATGTCTCGGGTGTTCACCCAGACAAGATTCAGCGGGTGCTCGAGCAAGATTGGATGCATCTCGTGCGTGATAAATGTATTCTAGACAGCCCCAATTATCTTCGCGAGAAAGGCAGCCCGGTCATCGCTCTGTGGGGTATGCGTTTAGATCCAAATCACTTTGATTGTTTAGTTCATCTTTCCCCTCAGGTTTTGGATTCAACGAAAGAAACCACTCCCCCGATGTCGTACGATCTATCACTAATTTCTTTCGTTCCTCCACACCAGGCGGTGCTTATCTTATGGCAGGTGTACCTGGACACTGGCGCACATCGACATCTGATAGTGACCCAAACCCCGAGTTCTTGCGAGTCTGGACAGAAGAGTTTGATGCATTGAGCCCTTGGACTATCGGACGTTACGGAAATGAAGAAGATGCGGAACGCTGGGGGAATGAAAAAGTCAAACCGGACTTTGATTTTTTGAAGCAAAGAGGAGATGAAGGCAAAAAAAGAGTAGATTACATACCTGTGGTACTTCCTGGAGGCAGCGTAAGTCCAGTAATGCCCGTCTATGATCATTGTCCTACTGATTATTATTTATGTTCTACAGGGTTATAACCTCTCTGGCGGCCAATGGGGACTCAACGACATAAAGCGCAACGGGGGCCGCTTTCTCTGGAAGCAAATATATGCTGCTCGACACGCAGGGGTGCGCATCATTTATGGGGCCATGTGGGATGAATATGACGAAGGAACAGCATTCATGCCCGTTGTCTCTTCTTCAAAGCAACTTCCTGTTCACCCACAGTTTAACTTTCTAGCGCTCGATGCCGATGGCTATTCGCTCCCGTCAGACTGGTATATGCGCATAACTGGTCTTGCCGCTGAATCATTACGCGGTGATCGTATGATACATGAGACATTTCCTGTCAAGGAGTTACAGGATTATTGGGCAACACGCCCCAGGTATGAAGATAAAACAGCTCACGAGGAAGAGGCGGAGCGATGGAAGGAAGCTCAACGAGCGTATCACGATTGGGCTACAAAGGAAGGAGGTGCAGCGGTGGATGAGGCTCCACCTCCATATAGGCTGGAAGATGAGCAACCGACGCACAGTCCTCGAACAAGCAGTACACCCAACGTCAGACCAGTCCCACCTGAAGCCACCAAGCCCACTCTCGGCCATTCATCCAGTGTCTCAGCCTCTTTGGTGTCCCCACCGCCTGTTCCAGCCAGGAGTCCATCGCTGACCACGAGCTCGCCATCAGCGGGCAGCCGACCTCCTGTTATTAACATGAGTTCTCGCCCTCCACCGGCTCCAATGTCAGCAAGACCGGTATATTCCTCCGATAAGGTGGATATGGACATGCGTCCCCAGCAGCTCTATCAGCGACCAGGCTCCTCGCATTCCATTGTCAGGCCATCCTCTCAAGTTTCTTTCCCTCTTCCTCCACTTGCATCTTCTAATGTGGCATATTTGGCCGATGATCTCGCCCGACAGAAAGTATCACACCATCCGTCAGAAGTTGTCTCAACACTACAGGAATCCCATGTATCAGGGATTTCTTCTTCGGTCATGCAAATGCCTTCCGTGGAGGCGAGTCTAAGGCGTCCCAGTATCTCGCCCGCAATCCCGCCAATTTCTCCGCGCCCGCCGGCTTCACAAGTACCTGTTGCATCATGGTCCCAATATCCTGGTCAACAACAGCTTCACTATGGTCCGTACAATCATCCCCCTGCCCCACCCCTCGATTTCCACCCTTCACCCTCACCCCAGGGTAGGCCTTCCGCTATAGGCGGACCAGGATACGATCGACATGATGCTAAGACGCATTCACACGCCGCCTCTTACCCCCGCGTAGAACAATTATATCCGAACACAATTCCAAATTCTGGTGTACCTCAAGAACATTACATGGCAACAGACAAGCCACCACATCCCTGCCAAACCTACCCCGCATCAAATCCACTTGCCCAAGACTACTTTCAACACCAAGTTCCCCCCGCACAACCTCCTGGTGGTTCGCATTCTCCTCGACCATACCCTCCACCTGAATGGGGAATCCCAAGCTCGCCTCCGTCCCAAGTGCACCATATTAGTGTGTATCTCCTGTTCACGGCTGCCCTCGCGTTGCTAATTCTGGTTGTTCTCACAAGGTCCTCCTACGCACCCGCAGTCTCAGAACTATTGCGCCCCGAACCAGCCGGCACCGATGTGGACAGGCAATGGTGGAGGGGGCAGGTCCAATCTCGCGGGGCGCGCACTAGACACGGTGGAGGGCATCGCGGGGAGGGATGCGAGGAGACACCTGGAGAGTCTTGCGCAGAGTGAGTTTACTCCTGAACAACGTTCTGTCATCTATTGTTGATGTGGTTTCTTTGCAGGCGGGTCGAAGCTGCTGAACAAGTTCAAATGATATTAGCTTCTTAGGAACTCACAGGAACTTTTCAGCTTTGTACTATGATTACAGATGTTTCTCGTTGGACCAAAATTGGACTTTGATTGAATGACTATTGTACTCTTGAGCGGACATTATAAGCCATAGTATATGCACTCTGTCGAGTGCAGCAACGATCCTTTGCTGGAGAAAGGTCCTCGCCATCGTGATGAATGTAAGCGATCAGTTGGCGGCTGTGGCATGACATGTATCAACACACCAACAAATACCATCTCCTGCACTCGAGAAAGTGACGAGAGGGCTCATGATTTTGATTTTGCATTAGCATCAGCAAACTACAATGTTCTGTACAGTTCTGTACAGAGCTGTACAGTGTCACAGGGCCACAGCTTGGTCCCTTCTGTACAGAACCTCCCAGTGCCACAGCTCCCACACACTCCTACCCAGCGGTTGTTTCGAGGGTGGGCACTGGGGGTCCCATCCTATATCTTAGTACTAGACAAACTTAGACATATTTTCCCGTCCACTAAATTTCAAACTCCATACTTCTCCCTCCACCCTCTCATCTACTGCTGGCATAAAACATATGTAAACAACACAGCCACAGGTCCATCGGTAGATTTAGTCCAGTATTTACTCAATTAAGCAACCGGTGCGAAGCAGCTCAAGTATGACACACCTCGCTGCCAGTGTTCACTCAGACAGTGAGATATGTCATAAAACCCTATTGATTTAATATACTGTAAGAAAATACATTGTGCAATCCTACACATCAGGAAAACATCCGGATGCTTAAATCACTCTTAAAGTGCCTTATTTAGCTTATTTACAACTTTAAACAAACTATTTCATTGCTTGAAATAAGACCATAAAGTAGGTCTATCTCCTTAAAATAAGGCCAAATGACATTTAAGGCGAGTAAGCAGCATAAAAGAATACTATTAGGACATCGTAAATAGAACATAAGCCTAAAATAAGGAGATGCACGAGTTTAAGGGAGAGGTATATATCGCGTCTGTGTCATGCGATAGCTGGTAGAAATGAGCTGGGAAAGCAGGGTATATATGCAGGTCATAGCATGCGATAGCTAGCAGAAACGAGCTGGGAAAGCAGGGTATATGCAAGTCGTCTGAGCTACCGGCCGATGTTGAATGAATGAATTCTGATAAACAAATATTAGCAGACTGTCATATCCCGCATTCCGGACCCGGACCTATCACACACATCATTTCCGGAAGTCCGGATCTGGCCGACGTCTATCTATGTCCGGATCCAACTCGCGTCTAACTTCCGCGCCTTATCCCTTTGTATGTTCCTACTCCAGTTAGACTATATCATTTTCTGTACCTCATTTCATTTCCGCCTTTATTTTCATCTGTTCTAATCTCCGGGTTCATTTACTATTTTCTGATAGACTAGCGTTTGACTTTTCTATACGCTCTGTCCACAGCTTTGTATAGCTTCAGACTGCGTGTCTCTGTTCTCCGATAAGTCCTTAGTAGTATATAAACCCTGTAGAATCTATGTACATCCTTAGTTCGAATATCATCTTAGACTCTGCTCATTCCCTCCTCCGTCCGACTTGAGTTTCTCTCTCGTCGACCTCCGCTCGTCTTAGGATCGATTCCTATAGACTTGTCACCTCCGCCTCTACCTCTGGTAGTCCTCCGCTGTTTCCTTTCTAGTTTGGACTTCGTCCAGATTAGTCTTATCTCTTGTTCCCAAACGTCCGCCGGAATTCCCACGCATCGGACATCAGACTCTGGACATTGCCCGATGCCCTCCGGACATCGTCCGGTAACCTTCGGACATCGTTCGACAGCCCTCGGAAGTAAGGGGCACATACTCGGGTAAGGGGCGCAGCGCACGAGCTGAAGCCAAGCCCTTCGGATCCGACCTTTGAGCATGTTCTTAACACAGACGAACAAAAATACAAATAAAATAAAATTACAGATGCGCAGGCGGGCACGCTTGTTAGCAGGAGCAATCGACTGGGAGGAGTCACAACTCTCGTCCACTCCCGAACGACTCAGACAATTGTGACGTGGGTGTTTCATGTACTCTTCAGCACAAGTAAGAATCTCCTGGATACGAGAGTACGGTAAGTCCTTGACACTTTCCATGTACGCCTTAGTGTCTGTCTCCCAGTTCCCAGAGGAGAATGCCGTTCCTGTGTGGCTCATCTTGTTCGTGGCTTCATTGAGTGTTTGCAGGATCTTGTGACCCTTGCCGCCATTGTCGGAGGGGTCGCTATCAATCAGTAAATGATCTTTGACAAGGAGAAGAGCATGCTCGGCCTTTCAAGATATACTAGTTAACATTCTGCTGACAGAGCAAAAGGAAAAAAAATTGAGCACTTACTGCTGCAGCTGCAAGCACCAACACAGTCAGATATCCAGGCTTCCCAAACTGGACCAATGCATCAACCCTCACTCTCCCAGATATTGCAGTAAGGTGGGAGGCGAAAGTGCATAATATATATTCTGATAAAAATGTGCCGGGTTGCTCTTCATTTTTGGGATCTTCATATATGAAGCAGCAGTCCTGGAGTTGATACTTGGTGTATTCCTCGCGGGCTTCCTGGGTCTCATACTCAGGTGTTGAAGCAAAAAAGGCCATCAAGACGCTGACGGCGGTTGAACCAAACGCAGCACGCCACTCGTGAATCCTTTGGGACACCTGGGGATGTCTGAATCAGCCATATCTAAGTTGAGTAAAAATTAAAAATATAAACCAATTGAAATGGGAAGCCGTCGGTAAGAAATTCACAATGTCCTCGACGTGAACGTGGATACACTGCATAGTATACATCTTCAAGGGCACTCTCGAGCTCGCTCTCCGGGATGGACCATCCGTTGTTGTCATTACCCACCCAGTACATCAAAGAGGGAAGGAATACTGTGCGCCATTGACCTTGTTCAAGGACTCTGCTGGATAGGTCCGAGTTCTTCGCTTTACCTTTTCTGATCTTTGCATGGTGGTTTTCTGGGACTGCATCCTCAGGCTTGATCCGTGCATTGGTGGTCTTTGAGTCTGAGATACCAACTGACATCTATCAGAGTGTCAGGTGCTTTTCAGTCATGATCTGTTACAAATTCTTACCGAACTTGTACATCGCGTCTCAATAACCTTGGCCTTTTGATCTGTGCGTCCATTGTCATCCACCATCATTGCTGCATTGTCAATATACAGCTCATCCCCATCTTCAGCAGCCTCTGGGTCCTCAAGAAGCTCAAGTCCTTCAAGGTCAGTGTAGTCTGCTTCTTCCAAGGTTTGAAGTGAACGCTTGTCGCCCCTTGAGGCATCTCTCGGTCTCTCCATGAAATGCACCAAGTCCTGACTCAAGTAAGTACACATTCCAAACTCAAGGAGACACTGACCTGTCTCCCCTGGGCTGCTGGGGGTTCATAATGCTCTTCGTCATCAAGGTCCACATCAGACTCTGCTGCTTGGGGCGTCCTGTAGCTTCATCGACTCGTTGGCGCAGAAAGCGGCTTTCAGGTCTTGGATGCAACTCTATCCGCCCAATCAGGAATGGGGCCTTCAAGGTTTCCGAGGCCTAGACTAGCTGGCTGCTTTTGATTGGCACTTATTTTGCATGCGCAAATGAAATCAAAGTAATACAAAGTGAGTTCCATTAAAATCAGCATTGTGGTCAAAAGAAACTTATGAAGATCTGATTTTCCCATCGTTAATTGTGCCTTCAACATGTGTGTGACTGTCACTGATGGAGGTCGTGACTCCGCCGTTGGACACCTTGCGGTTAGCGGTGACACTATCACAAAAATTCAGCCTCAAGGCTTGATGTTTCCTCTTTACCAGTTGGTCAGTCTGACCATCTTCAGTAGCCTGCTTTGACTGAGCTGCTTTGCAAGTATCAATAGTTAACTATCAGGTGAGTCATTCAAGCGCTGGACTACTAGTACTTACCTGTGACAGCCTTATTTTCTAGATTAATACTGTTCTTACCACCGACGACCATGCGAGGCTTTGGTTGCGGCCGAACAAGCCTTGGAGGACCCATCGCTTGAGCATTCTGCTGGATGGCCATAGCATCTTCTACTGCTGCAATCGCAGTGCATGACTTTCATTCTGCTTCCACATGAATGTCCTTCTTAACTTGTTTTCAGTTTTTTTCAGCAGCTACCTCCTCTTTGGATTGTCGCTGCACTTTGTTTGCATCCTGGACAATCTGTCCAGGGTGCTTGTTTGCATTAGTAGGATGTGTTTGTGGACGAGACATCAGGAAACGAGTGACCAAGAAGAAAAAATGAGTGACGGGAGAGAAACGACAGACTAAGATGTTGAACTTGGTTAGTCAAACACAGTTCGGGTGAGGGTTGCTGTCCTCGCTTTCAATTTAAACTCACCCGAAACGAATAAGTTCACACAGTCCAAATCACATCGTTCACGTCAAAACCTCATTTAATTTACAATTCTTAGCACGTGGCGAAGCAAATATGCCTCGACTTCCTTGTCTCATACCTGGCTGCAAGCGTTTGTTTCGAAATAGGCTGGGTCAAACAAAACACATGCGCACTGTGCATCCGAGGCCTTTGCGCAGTCATAAGACATTTCATCAAGCAGCTCCTGCACCGCGTTCTCCAAGTCCTGTGCATCAAGACTTCGATGATGCGCATCTTCCAGACGAGAATAGAGCAGGAGAAAGCTTTATGCCGGAAGCAGATAATTCAAGTGTACAGTTGGGACCTCTATTTCGAACATTTCATCCTCATCTCACAGGTAAAAATGTGTACCATGCGCTCATTCCGATCTAACTTGTTTGTAGGACTCAAGTGTGACATCAATGGTGATTTTATCAACCAGAATGCGCCCCCAACACCCCAAACCGAAGCATTACCCACCAACTGGACCCCATATGAAAGTCATGTTGCATTTGAGACGGCTGAATTCCTCTTCACACACAATCAAATGTCTGCAGGGCAGATTGATACCCTTCTTGACCTCTGGACAGCAACACTCATCAAACATGAAGATTCCCCTCCGTTTGCCACCCACCACGACTTATATGATACCATTGACTCAACTCCACTTGGTGACATTACTTGGGAGAGTTTTTCAATGTCATATAAGGGAGTCAAGCCAGCGGACAATGTTCCACCATGGATGAAGGCTACATATGACGTATGGTTCCGTGATCCGCGTCTTCTCATCCACAACATGCTCACCAATCCTGATTTCGATGGCGAGATAGAATATACCCCATACTGGGACTACAATGACAATGATAAATGTTGTTTCAAAAAAAATTTCTTGGGTAATTGGACTTGGATGCAAGCAGTACGCTCATATATTTCTCCCTTTCTTCAAGCTAACGATACATCACAATATAGGACAAAATCGCTGAAGATCCAGAGATGCATGGATCAACCTTTGTGCCTCTGATTGTCAGAAGCGACAAGACTACGGTATCAGTGGCTACAGGACATACTGAGTACCATCCGCTCTACCTCTCTATTGGAAACATCTTCAACAATGTTTGACGTGCACACCACAATGGTGTGGTATTGGTAGGATTTCTGGCTATTCCAATAAGTGAGTTAACATATTGTTCATTGTTTTAATCACTCATTTGTCATAGCCACGAAAGAACATGCAGATGACATTGACTTTCGTAACTTCCGCCGGCAATTATTTTACTCCTCGCTTGCAAATATATTCAAGTCCTTAAAGAAATACATGATGACCCCCGATATTGTACGCTGTCCTGACAGCCATTATCGACGAGTTATATATGGGTTAGGACCGTATATAGCTGATTATCCAGAACAAGTCTTACTTTCGGGTATTGTTACAGGGTGGTGTCCGAAGTACATGCCTTCTAATGTCTTTTATTGACTTACACTGACATTGTTCAAGGTGTTTGAATGATCGCAGAAATCTTGATGGCAATGGATTACTCCGGTGCAGAGAGCACACCAACTTACTGGTTCAAGAACTCCAGCACAAACAGTTGTGGTATGAGTACGGTATTGTTGGAGACGTTGTGGTATGTTCTTGTTCATTTTCAGCCATGTTGATTTCTCATTTGTTTTCCAGCCGTTCACAAATGATTTTGCTCGTGCAGATATACATGAGCTTCTTTCTCCCGACCTCCTACACCAAATCATCAAAGGGACCTTCAAGGATCACCTTGTTGATTGGGTGGGAGAATACTTAGAGCGTGTGCATGGTTGTTCATGCGCAGCAGAGATTCAGGATGATATCAATCGAAGGTAAGTGACTTTTTGTTTCAATTTTCGTTACTTCTACATGCTAGTGCTTACAATCCTCCAACAGGATAGCTGCAGTTGCCCCTTTTGCAGGTCTGCAGCACTTTCCAGAAGGGCGTGGATTTGCCCAGTGGACCGGTGATGATTCCAAAGCTCTGATGAAGGTACATTGCTGTTTAAAAAAAATCTGTGCGCTAACACTACTAATACTAGGTCTATCTACCTGCCATCAAGGGCCATGTCCCTCAGGATATCATACACACATTCAGTGCCTTCCTTGACTTCTGCTATATCGTCCGACGTGAGGCACTGACAGAGGATGATCTTGTACAGCTTGAAGATGCCCTCCACCACTTCCACCAGTATTGTGAGGTGTTCAAGATGACAGGAGTTAGACTCACCTTCTCGCTGAAGGTACAACAATTCAGAGAGTGAGTCTGAACAATGTTGGGTCTTGCAGAACCTAGCTGCTATTCGACCCTAAAGGGTTTCTGGACCAGGCTCAAGGCTCAGAGGAGAGGAAATATCATGAAAACTTGCTGAGTACTCTGACTCCTACTGGTAACTGGTGAAAAGATAACTTGCTTATGTAAGCTACAAAAGTGCCAACATAAGGTAAGGTAAAAACAGTCTCTACAAGCCCAGCCAGAAATGAATCCCTACATCGCTTCCACACCAACACTCTTTACAGCATTACTCTTGTACGATCCGGCTCTTTGGAGCACCCAATGGTCTTTGCTCATCCATAACGGAGTCAAAGCACATCAAGGCTGTCAAAGAGCCCTGGCGCTGTTCTAGCCGCTACAAGGCACTAGGCCAAATGCTAATGACAAACCAATGTCTCGACAAAATTGCTGCTGCACGGAGCGACTTCGAGGCTTGTAATATGCTCCATGGATCATGTGTATCTGATGCTTTACAGGCGCTAAAAACCCGTATGTCTTTAGAAATTCTATCTAAGTCTTCTAATATCATAGTATACAGGTCATCCTCAGTCTCTCAGTGACGATGACAACGACAACAATGACAACATTTTCGCAGTTGCAAACGCACCTCAAGAGCTTCCCAACCGTTTACATGTCAATGAACCACAACACCAGACCATCGAGGGAGAAGCAGCTGAGATTATTGATGGACCCGCCGCCAAAGCTCATGTAGAGCTTGCTGCAAAGCCAGGTAAGTTTTCTGTCTTCAGGTCAAACACATTGAATTTGTTGAACTTTTGTAGTATTAGGCGGTGCATGTGATATCCCTGCACTCACACTCAAACTAGGGCTTCCAAGCTTGCCTACTATGGTCAAATGATTCCTTCACGACCAGCTTCACATCGAGGACCCTGAGCCTCCCGCATCCGATCCTGCTATGGCACCAACATTTCTGGGCCGTATTTCAGTTTTTAGCTCGGCGGCTGCATCATTCTATGCCCCTAGTGACCTCAGCGGCACTGGAGGCATGCGACACGAGCATATTCGTGCAACAACCTCATGGCGAGGTGGTCCTGCTCGGAATGATTGTGTCTTCGTTAGTATGAATGATGAGTTCAGTTGTGGCTTGGATGGACTTGCTGTCACAAGAGTATTGTGCTTTTTTAGCTTCAAGTACTGGACAGAGTACTTGCAATGTGCCATCATTCGGTGGTTCTCATATATCACTGACAGTCGGGATCCTGACACTGGGATGTACATTGTTGCACCATCAACCAATGATGATGGCACACCAGATGTCTCAATTATTCATATCGATTGTATATTTTGCGCAGCCCATCTGATTCCTCTCTATGGCACTAATTTTCTACCTCGTGAAATCACCCTTCATGACAGCTATGACGTGTTTCATGCCTTCTACATCAACAAGTATGCTGACCACCATGCATTCGAAGTAGCATGAAAGGCAGGTCTGTCGCCATCTTTTGTCCTCCTCACAGTCTGATTATTTACTAGGACTATCTACACCCTGCAGCATCATCACCTGGCCTCACCCACCCAATTCATTGCGCACGCACTTCACCAGACAAAGCTTCATTCTTCTGTAACTCCTCATTGCCCCCATTTCATCGTGTACGCACTTCACCGGACAAAGCTTCATTCTTCTGTAACTCCTCTTGTCGTCCCCATTTCATCGTGCACGCACTTCACCGGACAAAGCTTCATTCTTCTGTAACTCCTCGTTGCCCCCATCTCATCGCATACGCACTTCACCGGACAAAGCTTCATTCTTCTGTAACTCACGGGTAGCGGACATATAATCTCAAGGTTTACATTTATTTTATACAGTGGTATAAGACTAATGGCACAAACTTAGAGTCAGCAAGACAAGACTATCAAAATAATTGGTAAGTTCTCGTCAAATATGAGAGATTCTAGCACTCACTGTGGTCTACAGCCACCCTACACTCGAACGACGTGTTCCGTCTCGATTCCCATGCCATATCCACCTCTTCACCTTCTCCCAGACCCCGAGCAAACCCTCCATCCCTTCCGCTCTCGCCTCTGTTTCTTCTGCAATCACTGCAGCCCTGATCGCTGCCTCTGCCTGAACCGTCATGTCTCCCCACTGATGTCTCCTCCCTCGACTGCCATAAATGGATTTCGAAGCCATATGGTGTACTGGTTTCCCGTCAATCAACAGTTGACATCATGAGCAATAAATGTACCGTATTTTTTTGGTTGGAATGTGTGAGCTTTAGCGGCTGATCTTTCGTTGATTGTCGTGCGCTTAGTTTTTGAGTATGAGCTATAAATAAACGTAAATAACTATAAAACTTTTGTCGCGCCTTTGCTGCCTTGACTGCCTTTGCTGCCTTAGCCCTGCCCCAGTCCTTAGAAAAGTATAAAAATAGTCGCTTATGTTCCTTAGCTGCTTTAGCAATATTTTTAAGTAGTCTAAGACAAAAAAAGCATCCGGACGTTTTCCTGATGCAATTTTGACAAGCACCACACGACGTAAAGTCCATATGTCAATGTCAATGTCCCCGGAGCTCTGCTCAACACCATCCACTTCGGCTCAGTATTGTTCCTCTTCATTGTCACCAATATTGACATTTGCTGGAGTGGTTGGAGGGATGAGGGTACTCAAGTGCTGCTTCTGATATGCAGATAATAACACATTCAACAATTTCCATAGCTCCGGTGCAAGTCGCTCCATGTCATTTGCCAAATTGCCATGTCTTCAAGGTGGAAATTCTCCAGCTGCTCCATGAGTATGTTTGTGACACTGAAGTGCCAACCGTGTTGCTGCTTTGACAATTGAGCAACTGATTTCCTTAACTGCTCGGTAGATAAGTGGGACACCCATCATACAATTGAGTCTTTGAGATGTGGGTGGGTGACAGAGCTAGCCAAGACAGATTGAAAGTTGGCGGTAGGTCATTAACAGCAAATCGAGAGAAGTCGTGTTTGGTGTCCAAGAGACAGTTGACAAAATCTGAGACAGAAAGGTTGTAGTGCGAGAGTGCTTGCAGGACACCAACAACCTGATCATGCATCACGGCATTCATCATTAGAGAATTGATAAGGGTGACAATCAATAACTACTATCAATACTACTTGCCAAATTCAGTCGGTGTAGAAACAACAATACTGAGAGGAACAAATGATGCTCCTGACTGTATCTATAAATGTTGTGAGGTCGCGTGTTGCCTAGTCTGCTATACTTGAGACAACAAGTGCGTTCGACCCTAAAGGGGAAGCGAGTGCAGCAAGGATCTAGAAGTAGGCGCTGCTGGTTGGCTGATGCAAAGCGCGGGAAAGTGCAGGTGCGCGCAAGGTGCGGGAAAGCGAAGGTGCATGCAAGGTGCGGGGAGCGCGCACGCACGTGAGCGGAAATGAGAGAGTAAGATTGAGTTTGCTTAAGTGGTGATATGATGCAAGACCAGAGATGTGAGTGCGAGGTGCCAAGGAATAGATTGCAACTATATTCTGCTAGGTAGTAAGTGGGTAAGTGGGAGGTAAAGTGGAAAGTGAGTTAGGTGAGTAATATTATGTACTGTTGGTGCTTATATACGGCACCTAAGCGCTGTCATGCGGAGCCGAAGCACTACCAAGTGAGGTATGTAAAGATATATGTAAGTAAGGGTCCATGATAAGAATAAAGGTGGTATGATATGCAAATAAGGGCAAATGGAAATACATGCACTAGAGAACTTGGTGGACAGTGGATGGATGCTTCTGGATGGTGGGCGCTATAGGGCGCTCAAGTGCGGGAAAGCGCGCGTGCATATACGTCGTGAAGCACGGGAAGTGTGCGCGCATGTTGCGCGTTGCGCGGGAAAGCTGCGCCTCATATAGGAATAGCTGCAGAAAGCATGCAGAGTGATGCTGCAAGTTTGTGCCATGTACTCCCTAGTGACAACTGCCATATGATGCAATGAGAGGCATGAGTCTCTACATCGGTCCAGTGGTGCGATGGACCTGTGGCTGCGTTGTTTACATATGTTTTATACCAGCGGTAGATGAGAGGGTGGAGGGAGAAGTGTGGAGTTTGACATTTAGTGGACGGAAAAATATGTCTAAGTTTGTCTAGTACTAAGATATAGGATGGGACCCCCACTCTTGAAACAACCACTGGGTAGGAGTGTGCAGCTCCCAGTGCCACAGAGCTCACAGTGCTACAATGTTTGTCTAGTAAATAGAACAAAAAAAAATCACACTGTTAACATTCTTAATGTATTAATGGCAGGAATTGAACTTGAGACTTCAGAAAGCTCAGCAACAACATCAACACACATTTACCACTACACTATTGTTTCTTTGGTTTTACTCACTCACAATAACACATATACCAATTATTCTCGACCCTCAATATTGTGAAATATAGAATTAAACCTCATTTCAACTTCAAAATTCATCATAACTTATTGAAATATACAGATAAATTAAATCTCATTGCAACATGTTTTTGACTGGAGAAAGTTTAGTCAAATTTCAATAAGCTTTGATTAATACTGAGGCTTAGTGTCAATGTTGAACTAGATACAGTGTACAACCACTGGTTGACACACCAAGTGTTAACCTTCCTCCTGTACACCACACACCTTCAAAATAATAATTTCTAAGCGCTGGAATGGTGGTAAGTACTGTAATATACATGATTGGTGGATTATAATTTTAATAATCAACAATGATAATATATGAGAGTGTAGTTGAGCTATGTCGAATGAAACTTGTCGTTGACACACCCGTGACAAGCATGACACGTCACTGTGATAACACTGATCATGCGCATCTGAATCAGTGTCTACTTTGACACACATCTCTCTAGCTCTCAAACTCTTCTCCTGAATCCTCAGACTCTGTTTCATCATCCTGTGCCATATCCCCAAGGGTAACAGCAGAACCTGATGCCACTGGAATCTCTGTGGGGCCTGGTGCATGTTTTGGCTTCAGTGGTCTCACTGGCTTCTTTGGCCAGTTCTTTTTCAGCACATTCTTGGCTGCTAACTCCTTGCATACTGCCACCCACTTTGCCACATCCTCGACATGTTTCTCCTGCAGTTTACACCACTCTGCTTCGATGGATGCCTTTTCTGACCTTTTTGCAGCTCGCGAGGCCTTCTGCTTATCTTTCTCGGCCTCCTTTCCTTGTTGTTTGTGCTCGACATGCTCTAGCTCTTGTGTAAATGCTTCGTCGGTCAAGTGACATCCTTTTCCCTCTGGAAAAAGCTTTTTCCAGTCCATTTTCTTCTTCGTCTCTCATACATACAATGATTGGCTTTGCTTTGCGCACAATAAGCCCTGCACAATAAGCTGAGTATGTGCACCCTCAATAATGAGGTCCTGGCTTTGCAGGTGGGTTTTTGCATTGCTGAGGCTATTTTGCAGGTCTTCTGTGTACCCCTTGAGTTTGATCCGCAACATTGTCAATGGCTTTGCATGCAGCAATGTCCAATTCAGTGCGGGAATCTTTGGTGGCACCTCAAGAACAGGTTGTGCAATTTGATGTGCAGATGTGACAGGATCTTTTGATACTAGAAAGCTCCCCAAAGCTGTACATGAAATTGCAGCATTCATGAGTCACATGCACTTAGATGGTGTGTATAGGTCTGGATTGATATCAGGGTCAATAGGATGACATGGTGACCTTGCTCCATGAGATGTCAAAGTATGTGTACTTGGTGAAGTGTCAAATGATGTAGGTTTATGGTATCGAAATGTTGCCATTACAGCACGAACAGGACTTGAATGTTGTAATGGGAAGGCACCTTTGACCGATGTGGCCTCACTGGGTTTCATCTGCCCTGCTGTGATGACGTCCCTGTTAAATGGGTATATTCCGGTAGCTGAAAATGCTGCCTTGATCAATGTGGGTGTGAACACCTTCAAAAAAGCATTTCCAAAGACTTCGATGAAGCTTCCTTTGTCAACCTTTTGTTGATATTTCTTCTCAAAGCTATTCACTTCGTATTTCCAGGTCTCCTTAAACCATGCAAAGCAGACAACATCAAGGCCTTGGAGTGCATGTGTACAATGAGGTGGGTAACCAAGAATTTCGATGCTGTTCTCTTGGGCATAACAAAGAAAGGCAGGTGTGTAATGAGAACTGTGACCGTCGACAATCAAGATTTGGTGTGTGCAAGGAATGATAGCTAGATGAGAAGGGGTGAAATGGGGAGAAAGGGGGAAGTGGGGTAAAACTCAAATAGACCTCTGGACGCGAGTATAGATTCGGCCCAAGGGGATTGCTACTGAGAATGATTCCTCTAAGTAAAAAGTGTGAGGGGAAACATAAAAACTAGTAAGGGTGACTGAGACTAAAGAGAATACAAAAGCCAAAGCTGAAGTGATGCGAGCGTGAGCGAGCCACTAAAAATGCGATGCAATATATGCATAGGCGGAGTGCCAATAAGATGCAATGTGATGCGAGCGCAAGCAGCCGCGATGTGACAAAACGCGGAAGCGCGCAGTTAAGCCAAAGACGAGATGTGAAAGAGGTACTGAAAACACGAGGGCGGGGCTGAGCGATGACAAGCGCCAAGAGTGTTGGATATTTTAGACACGTGAACACAAGACAATTGCCGCCGACAGAAGTGCGCATGCGAGAGAGTACTGAAGATTTTAGATTCTTAGTCAAGACTTGTAGTTTTGCATGTAAATGGGTGATGAATTCTGATGGGAGAGGGAAGTTACATGAAAATTCTCAGTATCTGATATATGTATGCACACCAAAGTGATATTCGGAACCGGGTAGGAAGCGAGATGTATGTAAGTAGGGTCCATGACACATTTAATGAAAATATAAATGGAATAGCTTGGGAATTGTTGTTAGTCTAGTGTAAATCAAGTAATATATGCACCAATGAACCGGCAGAGGATATGGATAGGACAGACGGAGGACGCGCAACAGATCCGAAGAGAAGCCGATGCTAGCCAAAGCACGCGCAAGAGCCGCGGCCGTCGGCTGACGATGAAAGACTTGCGTGCTATACCAAGGCCTATACGAGGCCACAAAGACCATAGGTCTTACATCAGGTGCGGCCACCTGCCTTTTATTTGGTCTTAGCATCAAAGTCATTGCACAGCCACTGTAATGCTAACTCACCATCTGTCCATCCATTTGGAGACACTGCAATCCTATCAAGTGGTGAGCTGTGTGTCAAGGTTTGAATGGGGAGGTGGCTCACAAAGCTTTCAAAACATTATTGTCACCCCACTTCTTCAAGATGTTCTTGCCCTTAAAAATGACTGTTGGTGGGAGTGCAGTCCCATCTGCACAGATCATGACAATGGAGGTGACATTTTCACAATCCGCTCCACCTTGTTTATGTTGTGTCTTTGTGCCTCTCCTTCCGACAACATGGTGAGTGCCCTGGTCACCTGGTGTGTTACCTGTCTCATCCATTGCGTATATATCCTCCTTCAGAATAGGTTGTCCATCCTTGCCTACAATGCCATGCTTCTCCACAAGGTTAAACCAATGCTTGACTGTGGCTGGGTTTAGTGCCTGGGCCCTCTGTGTATCAAGTGGCTTGCTCCAATGGGTCTGTAGCTCGTCATTGTGCCTTGTGAGGAAGCACTGACACCAATTAATTCCAACAGGCTCAAATTCATCACCGAGACGAGACCAGAGGATTTCATTTGCAGCACTTTTGATGATGTTGTGTGTCAGAGAGATGCCATGGTCTGCAGATTGAATGGCAAAGTCAACAATTACTTGTTCTTCAGCTTCATGTTAGCTTTTTTTTGTAGCATTAAAGTCTGAAATTGACGGCTTATTGTGATAACATCTTGAGAGTGTCTTGAATGGAACACCATACTGCTGTGCAATGGGCCACAATCCCTTTCGATCTTTCTCTGGTTTGGCCTGCTCTGCAATATATGCCGCTAATGCATCTGCCATAGACAAGGCAGCAGTACAGCACTTGTCTCGCTTCTTCGCAGTATTGGATTTTGCGTGATTGACCATTTTAACAAGAATGGATGGAAATGACGCAGCTGGGAAGAGCACGTTCATCATTTACGCGTTGTACACAATTGACGTGTTTTTAAGTTCCCATGCCCCTGAGTACCTTTGCTGTGTCACACTCCAGTGGCCTCCACATAATCTTCATTCAGACTTAGTGAAATATCAATCATTTGTTGCAAATTGTGGTCTATACATTGATGAACATGTCTACCTACATGCTGATGTATTTTTGCAGCAATATAACAACCTATATTGCCCAGCAGATGGACATCAAAAAGTTGATGCTCCATTTTGAGCCACATTTCAGCAAGAATTTGTGCATGTATGAAACACAGCTCAGTGAGATTGCCCAAGTTTTTTTCTATGTCAACTAGATGTATCTATAGACCTAACTACAGAATATCAAGGTGTATCAGATGTTAATTTAATGAGTTATTGGCAAGTGTGTCAAGGAATGGTGGTGTGTCAACCAGTGGTTTTACACTATACAAGACTTGGTGAAAATTTTGGTTAATACTGAGGCTTAATGTTGATGTTTAACCAAAAAAAAAACTTGTTGAAAATTTTTGTAATTTATTTTGTGAGTCTGTGGTGCACTGTGAGTCTGTGACTCTGGATCCTGGGATTCTGTGATGTCTGTCACACTGTGAGTTCTGTGGGACAAAATGGTAGTTTGCTGATGTATCACATCAATATGACAAACAAAATACAATTGCACTGTCATATTGTTCTATGATAGATATCTATATGGGAGGCGTATATATGATGCATAGCAAGAAATATGACAATACAGTAGACTTGCTCATAATGTATAGCAACGGGGGCCACCCTTTCTCTACTAGATGTCCACGCTGTAGAAACAACAATACAGAGAGGAACTAATGATGCTCCAGACTGTATCTGTGAATGTTGTAAGGTTGCGCGTTGCCTAGTCTGCTATACTTGAGACGACAAGTGTGTTCGACCCTAAAGGGGAAGCGAGTGCAGCAAGGATCTAGTAGTGCGCGCCGAAGGCGCTACTGGTTGGCTGATGCGAAGTGCGAGAAAGAACACAGGTGCGCGCGAGGCGCGGGAAAGCGAAGGTGTGCGCGAGGCGCGGGAAGCGCGCGCGCGTGCGTGAGCGGTAATGAGAGAGAGTAAGAGTGAGTTTGCTTAAGTGGTGATTAGATACTAGACAAGAGATACGAGCGCGAGGTGTCAAAGAATAGATTTCTACTATGTTCTCCTAGGTAGTATGTGGGTGCTAAGTGGGAGGTCCAGTCCAAAGTTCGAAAGTCTCGTAATAGTATGTAATGCTGGCGCTTATATACGGCGCCTAAGCGCTGTCACGCGGAGCCGAAGCACTACTGAGTAAGGTATGTAAAGCTATATGTAAGTAAGGGTCCAAAATAAAGGTGGAACGATACACAGATAAGAGAAATGGAAACATACGCACTAGAGAACTTGGTGGACAGTGGATGGATGCTTCCGGATGGCTGGCGCTATAGGGTGATCAAGCGCGGGAAAGCGCGCGCGCGTATACATCGTAAGGCGCGGGAATGATGCGCGCATGGCGCGCGTTGCGCGGGAAAGCTGCGCCTCATATAGGGATAGCTGCAGATAGCACACAGAATGGTGCTGCAAGTTCGTGCAATGAACTCCCTAGTGAAAAGTGCCATATCACACCATGAGAGGCATGAGTCTCTACAACGCTGCCACCAGTAAGGTAGGCCTCATTCAGGTATAGTGTTGTAGGCAGAAGTCTGCCATTCTGCCAGCCGGTTTGGCAGAACATAACATAGATAATCATCATTTACAATCATACAATACCTGCCACTGCACTCCATCAGCAAACCAGTAGATATCTGTACAATCCTCAAACTTGTACAGGATTGTACAAGCTTGTACAGACTCACAGAATTTACAGCTAAGTGGGCCTTGTGCAGGCCTGTGACAAGGCATACAGGCTGTACAAGATACCTTGTGCACCTTGTACAGCTTGTGGGTTTTGAAGGACAAATGCCAAAAAAAATATAACTCCATCTTATTATTGTCACATCACATGATTAATTTCACATATTATATTTTGTAATTGGCAGGAATTGAACCTACATCCAAAGCAATTATAAGTGCAGCATTGTTACTACTCAGCCATCAGGCCATGTATATAATATAGCAATAATAGCAACATATACTGAAGCAATGTTACATGACAAATGCAAAAATTTCACTAAGTCAAGTCCATTCAATTACCCCACAACACTACCACTCCATTTACTACTACATAAGTTCCACTATGGTATCTTAATATAATTGTAATTGAATAGTAATAACTGATGTATGTCCTATTTTATTCAGAGTCATTATATTTTGTACATTAAGGATTACCTCAACTATATTGTCAGTTATTACAAGTTGAACAACATATAATAGGCTAAGGATAATAGAGACTAGAATAAGGTCAGAAAACTAGTAATTTCACAGTGAGTCTCTGCACAGCTTGATGATGTAATCATGAGGGGTTGATAGGTCCACAATGAAGTCTGTAAACAGCCGGAAAAGCACTGCACCATCCTTGTGGATCTCAGTGTGTGAGACAAGCAGCTTCGCAAAGGCCTCTGTTGCAAGCAAGTTCATCTCTCCCAGTCCCTACAAGGAAACGTACTCATAGACATGCTGAACAGCCGACAAAAATGTGTGTAGATGGAATGTATGGCCTTCGGAGAACAGACCTTGAGGCTGAGGCCAGGGAGGGAGATCTTTGCTGCTGTTCTTTGACACCTGCTTGACACCATCAGCACAGTAGCTCCACTTGTGGTTGAGTGGCAAGTTTCTGGGGCCAGGGTACATGATTGTTTGGCAGCGTGAGCATGTCTGCACTTTTTGGAGCTAAATAGCAAAAATTTCAGCATGTAACTTGGTGTGAACTTGAGTGAACTGACCTTTTCCCTAGCTCCTCCTTGACAAGAGGTACAACAGAACAATGGTGGTGCCAAAATGTCTCATTGTTCCTCTTTGCTATGTGTTCATATCCAGATATCAGAAAATACAGAGTGATGCAAGAGAAAATTTGATATGACAGCCATATGAACTTGGCCCACATGTCCATAAACAGGTAGAACTCGTCTGAACTTTGAAAGGTCAGTGAGCGAGGATCAATACCTGTGGCAATGGAGAATAAGTGCTGAGACCAAGTAATTGAGTTGTTGATGCCAGCACTGGAGTGATCCTGTGAGAATTCAAGAGGAAGTTTACATGTGTAACATTGGTCGGGTGTGATGGGACATACCTCTGTGGTAGCCCCAGGAATCACTGGGCGATCACTGGTGACTGCTGGGTGACCCTGTGAGAATTCGGGAGGAAGTTTGCATGCTGTGGTAACAACAATCCTGCTGAGTAGCAAGGACAAGGTTAGGTCTAGCTATGCCTAGCTGCGATGTCAGAGTAAACAGTGTTTGACCCAAGAGAATCTCTATCTAGGCTTAGGCTCAAGAGAGAGGGAAAATAAAGAGGGAGAGTGAAAGAGGCACTCCAAGCTAATGACAGAAAACTGAGTTCCAGGAGCTAAATAGTGAGCTGAAGAAGCTACAACTAGGAGAGCTACAACTAGGGAATGCTACTAAATAACCCAAGTTAATGGAGAGCAATCAAGAACTGGAAACTGAGGAAACTAGGTAATGACTGTAGAGTCCTAGGTAAAGGTAGAAGATGATTATGTAAGCGGTAAAAGTGCGAACATAATCTAAGGAAAGTGTCAGTAAGAGATGCTACATAAAAACTATCATTTCCTGCTCAGCGGGAAGTTGAGCTTGACAATGCGTAACATTGGTCACATGTGATTGGACATACCTCTGCAGTATCACCAGGAATCACTGAGTGATTCTCCAAGAATTTAGGAGGAAGTTTGCATATACAATGTTGGTCAGGGGTGATTGAGTTGTTGATGTCAGTGCTGGTGACTGCTGGATGACCCTGTGAGAATTTGGGAGAAAGTTTTTGTGGGTACCATTGATCAAGGATGGTATGACATACCTCTGTGACAGGACTGTGGAGCTCTCTGGGTCACATTACAAACATGACCAGAAGAAAAGTAGCCATCAAGTGTCTTGGTGCTGGCTGAAACCAAAGTCTGTTGTAGCACTTAGCCTTGTGCTGAGCTCATATTCAGCTAATTTCCAATGTACATCACATGCCCATTACACATGAATCATTTCCTGATGTTATCTGATGCTTATCCACTCAATCTGACACTAACCCAAGTTATGTGTGAGTTTGGCATCTGCAGTCTCTTCCTTGATGAGCAAACCACCAAACATAGTTGTATTATCTGATACTACAAGTCCAAAGGTCTCGCCGGAGTCCACACCTGGGAGTTCTGGTGGAGGAAGCAGCTGTGTGTCCTTCTTGTACAGTCTATTGTAGAGTCTTGCTATGTGGTTAGAGAGCTGGATGTGATGGGAGCTGTGAGTGAGTTTGACAAAGAGCATCATTTGATGCCTACTGGAAGTGACCCTAATGTTTCGATGGAGAACAAAGTCATGACTAAGCGCAGACAGCATTCCGATCCTACTTGGTTGGGCATACTGTAATGAGTTCCAGCCTTTGTGGGTACCCTCAACATGGCTGCCATCAGACCGGATGTCTTGATCTAAGCGCTCAAAACACTCTTTTTGGACATGTTTAAGTTGTTCTTGATGTACCTAGCAGAATATGACACTGTGAGACTCCATTTTCACTCCTAATGAAGCAGGCAGACTTACCTTCTGAGCTGCTGCTAACCACATACCTTTTTCAGCCCATTTATCAAAAGCTGCAACAAGGTGCCACTCCTGTTCACCACGATCCAAATACTCTGCTCCACATCCATGTTCTGCGTGTTTCTTGAGGATCATACCCAAAATATTGGCAGTGATGACACTACAGAATGGGCTTTTGCTGGTGTTCAAGATTGCAGCAATGTATCTTTGTTTGGTGAGGTTTCCTGTTAGCAAGAGTAGTATAGCTCATGCTGAAGTTACATATTTTGCAATAAAATGCCAGATATCTAGCTTAGCCTCTGTCTCAGGCATGACAGAAGCCACTGCACTGTATATATGACAGCAGTTGTTGGTGACCATCATCTTTGGTTGTGGGAGGTTGAGGATATCATGGCGCCACTTGAGGTCACACAGTAGCTCTGTGATTTCAGCATTCACATGTGTCTGACAGAACCACTTGCAAACAGGGTATATCAGCCTCAACTTTTTCAAAGTCAGATGAAAGTACTCATCCAAGCAATGATCTTGTTGCTTTCATTCAGCACAGTGAGTATCCCACCCTTGATCTCTCTTGTCTTTTGCCTGTCCTTGTTTGTAAGTGTTGCCTTATTTGATGCTTTGAAAGTGTTGTTGAGAGAACTGCATATTGCTGACAAACAAATAGTGAGTGTATAACACTGGGTGCAGGGTCTATCTTTTCTGCCAAAAAAACAGTAAACTTTTTGAAAGAAAAGGTCGAAATTTATCTTTCATTTTATCTGCCTAAAAATTGTGACACAAAATTATAATGGTTTTCTGAATTATCTCTCACACAAATCATGAATAAATCAAAATTTTATGATCCCAACTTTCTCATTATATCTCACATTAAAATTGCAAAATAATGTTCATATGTGTGGCTGAACAAAATTCTGGACAAGTTAGCAGCAACACAGGTTATGATGTTTTTTAAAAGTGTGTTTGAGAAACATTGAATGGAAACACACAAACTTAGCTTAAAATTTGTCTGATGGAAAAGAGCAGAAAAAATTTAAACTGCACAACCATTTCACCTCCCAATCCTATCTAGGGACCATCAGACCCGAGCACCTCATGCTGCCTCATGGTGCTCTTCCCCTAGACCTAGACTGGCGCATGCCACTGTGAAGAAGTAATAGTAGCTAGCTAGCAAGAAGGTTAGAGCACTAATAAGATCCTGCTGAGTGTGGGTGTGCTGTATCGACCCAAGAGGATTGCTATGAAGCACTTCCTCTAAGTATGGTGTGAAGGGAGCAAATGCGGTGTAGAGACTGACATCTCTGTGGCCTCATAAAGGTCTAATTTCCGATGTATGTATCAATGCTAATCATTATCCGGATCATTCACTATCATATCCGACTCAATACACACCAAACCCGAAAACATTAGACATTGGACTATTGGACTTCATGTGCACTAGTCATACCTATGTCCTGTCTCATTGTGCTAGCCCCACTAGGTGTGTAGTTACTTGTTTTCACATCACTAACATTGTAGACCACATTATTACATGTCCGCAGCACCTCATGTCTTATTACATAGGACATCGGACCCGAAAATATTGCGCACTGACTCCCAAAACTATTCCCAGACCGCAGACCCCTGGGTCAAATGCACTTGTCTCACCAAGTATAGCAGACTAGGCAGTGCAAGACCACAACATAAATATATCAGTTTGGAGCCATCTTTGTATAGCCCCACTCTGTGTGGTATTCCTACAGTGGAACAGAAAGAACTAAGGTAATCTTGGAAATGTAGGTCTGCCGATGAGAGCAAAAATGAGATTATCTCTGACTCATGCAGATCCCTAGATACAGACTCCTCTTGAACCTTCATAGGACATACCTATATAGAGTAGACACATATCATTGTATTTCCCTACTTGGATATACTTGGTTTTCCATCAGAACTCCTCTCAGTGTGACCTCCAGTCCCACTGTCTAGACCACACTTCTAAGGCAAGCCAACACTACCTTAGCCATACATCCATTAGCCCAACAGCTTGACGAGCTGCTGTGCGTACAAAGCTTGTCGGAGGATACCTCGGGCTTCATCCGAGCTAGAACCCATCCTTCTGTCTATGTGAGATCACTAGACAATTGGCCATTCAGCTATAGAAGGCTTGACCTATCCAAGTCGTAACACCGATGAACCGAATGGACATGGAATGGATGGACAAAGGATGAGCATGACTCTGTTATGACAGTCACATGGCTAAACACAACATTGATCAGCTTGCAAACAAAGCGACCATGAGCAAATTTCAGGGTATGTTTAGTCTACAACTGGGTCATGAGTGACAACCGACAATTGAAGGATCACATATGATTGGACGTAAGGGGGATGTTGGAAATTAATATTAGAACTGACAAAATGCAGATAAATGTGCCTTGAGGGTTCACTTCTGAATGAGTTCATTGGAAGTGAATCTAACTGGTCTTAGCCAAGCAGTCGATACAACAGAATCTAAATCTGTCTGTGTGGGTTCAAAACCTGCTAAAGATCGAATTGTCAAGTGATCACCAGAGTCAAAATCTGTTTCTCTTGGAATGTGCAGGTTTGAAACCTGCCGACGATGAATTTTATTTTCTATAAAAACACACCTTGACAATAACATTTTTATTTTTATTGTATGAATAATGAAATCACACCTTCACATTTCCACACGAATGTATAGCAAGCAAACACTGATGATCTAAAGCTTGATTGACATTGCTGTTGGTTTCATGCATCCTTTTTTGCTAGGTGAATGCGAGTATTTTTGACGCAGAGTTCGATATATGACCAAAATCTCGATGCAAACTCGGAAGGATAAGCATAAGAACAATTTAATTCTTTCTAAAGGTCTTGACTCTGTTGAAGAAGAAGAAGAAGAAGAAGAAGAGCAGATTACACATCAAACTTGCAAGTTTCATCCTAATGACCTGGGGAATGAGGAAAAATACAAATATATCAAGGCTGAGATTGTGCCTTGAGGATTCACTTTTGAATGAGTTCATTGGAAGTGCATTCAACTAGTCTTAGCCGAGCAGTTAATACAACAGAATCTAAATCTGTCCGTGTGGGTTCAAAACCCGCTAAAGATTAAATTGTCAAGTGATCGCCAGAGTCAAAATCTGTTTCTCTTGGACTGTGCAGGTTTGAAACCTGCCAATGATAAAATTCATTTTTTTTCTATGAAAACACACCTTGAAATTTGCTCATGGTCGCTTTGCTTGCAAGCTGATCAAAGTTGTGTTTAGCCATGTGACTGTCATAACAGAGTCATGCTCGTCCTTTGTCCATCCATTCCATGTCCATTCAGTTCGTCGGTGCATATTTCTATTCTATTTCTGTGAATTCTGACAGTATTGCTGGCGCTATGCGCACACATTCCATAATGCTATGTCATGGACCCTTATATTACATATTATCACGCACTCGCTTCGCTTCTCAGTTCGCTTTAGCGCTTAACATTACTTACATAGTTCATGTATGTTTTTCTCTCTTGACAAATTAACCACCATCATCTTGCTGTGACGCTCAGAACTGCGCTGGGCAGGAATGAGCCTATTTTTATATATGCATCAAGGAGTATAGAGCACTATCAGTTTCCCTATCCTTGTTCATCATTTGTCCAACAATTAACTCCTGTGCAAACCCAAACCCGCACTTTCCTGCGCACTAGACAGTATAAGTTGACTATACTACTACATCACTTCCCTCGTACTGTATACCTCTCCCTATAGGTTTACCTTCAAAGTAGTCCCTTGTGGTATGCACTTTTTAGCCCCTATTAGGTCCCCCTTCAACTCATCTAGAGTCGCTGTGCTCCAACCACCTGCATGCGCGCCTCACATCTGCTTAGCGCACGCCAACGCATAGTAGCACTTCCGCTTAACCGCGCTCCGCACATCATAGCGCGCCTAACCAGGCTTGACTAAGCATCTGGTTCAGTCACTCGCAATGTTTTCCCTCAGCTGAACAGATGAATTGAAAACAGACCGCAATACAACACTTTCAAAAAGCGAGAGAAGAGCAGGTCTCAAATACAGTGCACCTCAACCTTATACATAAGCGAATAGTGGCCAGATGGCTCTTTTGAATCTTTGCCTTGAATCTCAGCCTTGACAGATGTGTATTCTTCCTCATTCCCCAGGTCATTAGGATCAAACTTGAAAGTTTGATGTGTAATCTGCTCCTCTTCTTCTTCAACAAAGTCAAGACCTTTGGAGAGAATTAAATTGCTCTTGTACTCGTCATTCCGAGTTTGCATCAAGACTTTGGTCATATATTGAACTTTGCGTCAAGGATAAAAGAATCAACAGTGACCATGCTGTTGAAAGAACTGACAAAATGCAGATGAACGTGCCTTGAGGATTCACTTCTGAATGAGTTCATTGGAAGTGCATCTCACCGGTCTTAGCCAAGCAGTCGATACGACAGAATCTAAATCTGTCTGTGTGGGTTCAAAACCTACCAAAGAGTGATCACCAGAGTCAAAATCTGTTTCTCTTGGAATGTGCGGGTTTAAAACCTGCCAATGATAACATTTTTATTCCATGAAATCGCACCTTGACATTTCCTCATGATTGATATATGTTTGTTTTTTTCCCTGTTAGAACACACCTTGACATCGACCCATGTGTACTTTCCTGAGAGCTTCATATCACTGGTCTTAGCCAAGTAGATGTTGCAACAGAGTCAAAATCTGTTTCTTTCAAACCATGCAGGTTCAAAACCTGCTTGCAAAATATTTTGCAGTGTATAGATTCTCAGAGACCCAAGTCCCAAGTCCCAAGTCCCAAGTCCCAAGTCCCAAGTCCCAAGTCCCAAGTGCAAGCAAATAGGGACAGTTAGACGTTTTGGAGTATTCATCAAAGTGATGTCATTCGTGTCAGTTTTATCTTTTTCAATGCAACCCAGGTGTGACTGCTTTGTACTAGTTTTGCAGCAGAATGTAGCGAGAATGCTTCTGTTGCATCTATACATTGTGGTCTGTAGCTGGGAGTATCCTTCAGCATGACATAAAATAAAATGATGAAAATATTATACCAGCAGTGTTGGATTGGACAACAGATGGACGTGTAATGTAGGGCATGCACAGAAATGCAGTGCTTGGTATGGGACAGGACGTGATTTCATAAAATCAAAAATGTTATCATTGGCAGGTTTCAAACCTGCGCAGTCCAAGAGAAACATATTTTGACTCTGATGATCACTTGCAATTTCATCTTTGACAGGTTTTGAACCTGTCACAGACAGATTTGGATTCTGTCGTATTAACTGCTTGGCTAAGACCAGTTAGATGCACTCCCATTGAATCCATTCAGAAGTGAATCCTCAAGGTACGTTTTGTCAGTTCTAACATTAATTTCTAACATCACCCTTGAGCTCAACCATATGCGATCCTTCCATTGTCAGTTGTCACTCATGACCCGCTTGTTAATCCCAAGACATCACGAACATCATTGGCCCACCGCGGTGATCTGCCATCAGCACTTTTTTTGAGCAATTGCTGGATAAACAGGTCTTGAAGTAGAGGCCCAGGAGAAGTCTGATGTCTTTTGCGATAAGAGTAGAATAAAAGAATCAATCGCGGCGACTATATTATTGAAAGAACTGACAAAATGCAGATAAATATGCCTTGAGGATTCACTTGTGAATGGGTCCATTGGAGGTGCATCTAACTGTTCTTAGCCAAGCAGTTAATATGACAGAATCTAAATCTGTCTGCGTGGGTTCAAAACCCGCCAAAGATGAAATTGTCAAGTGATCACCAGAGTTAAAATCTGTTTCTCTTGGAACGTGCAGGTTTGAAACCTGCCAGTTGCAACATTTGTTTTCTATAAAAATGCACCTTGAAATTTGCTCACGGTCGGTTTGCTTGCAAGCTGATCAAAGTTGGCTTTAGCCAAGTGGTTGTCGCAACAGAATCAAAATCTGTTTCTATTGGAATGCGACAGGTTTAAAACCTGTTGAATGTCACATTTTTTCTATGAGAACGTGCCTTGAATGTTGGCTCATAGACGGTATCTCAGACATTGATCTTCATTGGTCTTGGTCAAGTTGTCGCCAGATTCAAAATCTGTGTCTCTTCAACTTTGCAGATTTGAAACCTGCCGATGATGATATTTTTATTCTATGAAATTAAACCCTGATATTTCCTCGTGCATAGTTTTCTTCAAAACCCATCATAAATGCTCTTTTTCATATCATTGCCACAATAACATGGCTAAGACCATTTAAGATGAGTTTTTGAGAAAACTCTTCACTAGGAAATGTCAAGGTGTGATTTCATAGAATAAAAATATTATCATTAGCAGGTTTCAAACCTGCACAGTTCAAAGAGAAACAGATTTTGATTCTGTTATGACAACCGCTTGGCCAAACACTAGTCTCAGTGGCTTTAAAGCAAACCGACCATGAGCATATGTCAAGGTGTGTTTTCATAGAAAATGAATTTTATCATTGGCAGGTTTCAAACCTTCACGGTCCAAGAGAAACAGATTTTAACTCTGGTGATCACTTGATAATTTCATTTTTGGCGGGTTTCGAACCCACAAAGACAGATTTAGATTCTGTCGCATTAACTGCTTGGCTGAGAGCAGTTGGGTTCAATTCCAATGAACCCATTCAGAAGCGAGTCCTCAAGGCACATTTATCTGCATTTTGTCAGTTCTTTCAACAGCATGGTCACCGTTGATTCTTGTATACTGCTCTTATTGCAAAAGACACAGACTTCTGCTGGGGCTCTTAACTTCAAGACCGTTTTCGTCAGGATTGGATGAACATGGACGGATAATGGATGGGGCGGGTGTGGAGCTAAAGGCTTCATCATCACTAGTCGCCCTCTTCTTTCCCTTGCCTCGATGAGAGGATCTTCGGTTCTTCCTCTTGTTAACCGTATGCGTTTTTATCTGGTCTATCTCCATTTCCGTGAGTACGAAGACGGAAGCGGGCATGGAAATTTGCTCTGCTTCTGCGATAAGCTCAGCAGGTTCCGCCGGGGTGGTTTCCCCTAATGCCTGTACGGGTACCAAACTGTCCTTAAAGGTTGCTACGGAAAGCGTAGTTGGTATAACCATTGGTGGGTGAATGTGGAGCGCTTGCAGCGCAGCAGATAATTCGGTAATTTCTGAATGCGAAAGGTATTGTTGATTGGGATTGGCTAATATTTCTTCATGCGTGGCGGAGAATGCAGTGTAAATATTTACCGGGTGCTCTACAGTTTCTTCTGGAGCTACCACAGTATCTGATGGGGTTGGAAGAGCATTGACCTGTAATGCTAACCGTGTTTCTTCTTGCAGGTTTGTAATCATAGCGTTGGTGATTTGCGTGAGACTATTAACAGCGTCCAATAGCTCACTAGACAAGCGAGGAGGAGGCACAGGAATTGCACCGTCATAGGAAGGTGGAGGGGTTGTAGTAGTTCGGCCAATTGGTTGTGGAGATGGTGGACGAGCGACTCCGGCAATTTGTTCAGCAACCACATGAATAGCCGCCTGAATGTCAGACTTGACTTCCTCAGGAATAAGACGCAAAGCGTAATGACGAATGCATTTCTGTAAATGCATGACGCCATGCTGTACACTTGGTTCCTCCACGTGTCAAAGGAGTCTTTCAATGAGGTCGGTGGCATGAATGATGTTGACGATGAGGTTAACTGAGAAGGCATTTCGGGAGATAAGGATTCTATTGATTTCGATGGCATGTTGGGGACAGAGGATTGCTGCTTTGATGAGCGTGAGGTCTTCGATTTTGGAGATGAAGGATTCAAATCTTCCTTTGTCGGACGAGAAATTGGTCGGTGCAAATGTGGATTTGTAGGGAAGAGTATAGGATACTGGGAAGGGCATTTTGTTTCAGGTTGGGAAAAGATGATGCAGTTGGAATCATTCTTGATTTCAGAGTCCGTGTTGTCTTTTATAAGCTGAGAGGGTTTGTTCAGCATTTCCAAGGTTTTCTGTGGGAATCCACTTGTTGCTCGCAGAAGAATATCCTTTCCACGATACCAGATAACGGCACCGCTTCCCGTTACCTTTATGGGCAAGGATGGCTTCAATTTCATATTCTTCTTCTTCTTCCAGAATATCAGGAGGGGGTTCTAGGAAGTTCGGACCGTGGACGTCATTTTCGCTATAGGACGATAACTGAGAAGCATGGAACGTGGGATGTATGTTCCATTGCGGAGGCAGTTGGAGTGTGAAAGTGATCGGAGATAATACTGCAGAAATGGGGAAGGGACCATATCGTTTGGGGGCAAGTTTCCGAGAAGGAAGTTTTAGTCGGAGATTCATTGCTGATAACCAGACCTTATCTCCTATCTTCCATGGTTGGTATTTCTTTCCGAAGGATCTTTCCGCCATTCGTTGCATAGCAATATTGTGACAGGCGATTGCTTCTTCCCTTATCTTTTGTAGTAGACGAACTCGTTCCTCTGCTGCTGGTACCTTTGACTCGGGTAGAATGTGAGGGATTGCTCTTGGTTCATATCCCATCATGATAAAGAAGGGAGATGCATTCCTGGCATCGTGTTTTCGGTGATTATGAACAAATTCGGCCATAGGGAGGTGTTCAACCCAATTCGTTGGATCATTCTGGCAATAGATTCGCAAGTAAGTTTCTAGTTCCTGGTTAAGTTGTTCGGTTTGTCCATCGGTTTGAGGGTGATAAGCGGTAGAAGGGGCAATGGCATAATCCAGTAGTCGTGCTAATTCGAGAGAGAATTTTGAGAGGAATTGGGGTCCTCTATCGGAGATTACTTTGTCGTGTAATCCAAAACGTTTGAATACGTGTTTCAAGAAGAGCTTGGCTACTCCTTCGGAGGAAATAGCTTTATGACAAGGAACAATAATTACCCCCTTACTAAGCCCATGGTCTACCACGACCATGACAGAATCAAAGCCAGAGGACAGGGGCAGATCTGTGATAAGATCTACGGAGATCTGAGAGAAGGGTCTAGTGGCGGTAGATGAAATGGGAATCAGAGGAGGTACAACAGGATGGGTGTTTGCCTTCATCTGTTGACAAGTAGCACAACCTTCAACATATTTTCGGACAAATGCTCCCATACCAGGCCACCAGGCTTCTCATTTCACGAGCTCTTCGGTTTTGAAACGTCCGGGGTGACCCGCAGTAGGGTGATCATGATATCGAAGAAGAATGTTGTTGCGAAGGTTGGGCAGGATATAGGCTCAATCTTTGTAAAACAAGATATCGGAATCAATCTTCCAGTCATTAAGTGCTGATTTCATGGGAGGAAGACAGATGCCGTTTAAAGTGTCCATG